AATTCAGATAATTAAAAGAACGTTAGCAAATTATGAAAAATTCATATCTAATTTTGTTGATTAAATGCTTGGTGGTACCATAAGAGACATTAATGGCGCCATATTGTCTAACTTAGGAGGGAACCAATCATTAGGAAAGGGTCGTTTCGTTGACTTGATGATAAATATACAGGCCCAAAACATTACTTGGATTCATTTTAACGACACGTTTACTTCTGTTAAAAGGCAGTAATCGAACTAACCTTAGCTTGAAGAAAGTCGAAGGAAAGCACCACTCGTCTATTAAGCACAAAAAAATTCCCATGAAAGTTGATCAGAACAAAAAAATTATAAAAATCGAGTTTTGCGGAATTAAAGTGCGCAAGAAATTACTGAGACTGTGACTGCGGAATGAGAAAGGAAAATAATACGGATAATTGCCGCCATCTAGTATTGGGTAACATTAGCTGAACTACGTATATCGTTGTTGGCTATGAAAAGTGTGCGGTGCAATTATTGGACTAAATTTTTTTTTAGTACAACTAAGGATTAGTTTTTCAATTAACAAAACTGAAAATAAGTCATGTTCGTTGATAAATATAGCTTGAGATTAGCGATCGCTCTATTTGTCATAGTAGAAATATTTTTAGCTGATTTAAACTTCCCCTTTCTTTTTCAAAAACTCGAATTATTAGGTGATACAGGCTACTATAAGAAAGTAAAAGGTCACTGTAGCCGAGTGATATATTTTGCTTAGATTATCAAAATATGATGGCTCGATTCGTGGCCTTGGCAGAAGTAAGCCCATCATTATGAGTCGGATTTAGTCGATGTTTGTAACCTTATTGGTACTTTTATCAGTCAGCAATAGAATTAGAAACAACTAATGCTGAACCACTAAATTACGCTTTTTGCTAAACTTTTCAGTTAAAATTTTCATGAGGATTCTATTCAATTCGTAAAAAATCATTTTTCGCCTTTAAAAATTATATTTTGAATGAGCCTTAAATGCAATGTAATTTTTATTATTCCTACTTTTTTAGCAATTCATTTCCATTTTTTCATTAAGAAAAAATTTTTTCTCAATCATTCGAAGGCTATAAATGTGCATTGTTGCATAATGAAGCAATTCGCTTGTGGATACCTTTTATTTATCAATTAAATAAATTAAGCGAAATATTAATTCGAATCCGATATTAAAGCATTTTATCGATATTGCTGCAATCATAATTCTGCGGACCAACTGAAAAATTTATTCGGTTCAAATAAATGCAACTTGGCTGGTGGTGTTTCTCCAACAACTGACCCGATTCTACGTTGAATGACAAGTTTATTACTGTAGAAAAGCCAAAATCGAGTCTAAGTTGAAAGCCGAACCAACATTTTAGTTAACTGAAACGTGATAATTTACAAATTGATGAAATGATAAAAATTTAACCATGAAAGCAGTAAGTTTTTAGTTCCAATGAATGTTGAAATGAAATTTTATTGATGGCAATATAAGTGCTTTTCGTTACAATAGTTGGAACTTAAATTTTTTTCAGTATATTTTTTTCTTTTATCTTTTAACACTAAGTTTTTGATTTGGTAAACTGAATTTGCCAGCGTCATGAATTATTTACTTTTTATTTACTTTCATTCATTTAACATAAATGCATTTGGAAATAGAAGACCAGGTAGATTTTCAGCAATAACTTATTTGCACAATCTATTTTAGTTCGTCGTTCCATGAAAAGGACTCGTCAGTTTTTGCGATCATATCGATAGTTTTTTCAAATTTTACAACTAATTCGAATTCGGTATTTTCAGGTCAAAAAAAGTGAAATCGATTCTACGATGAAACTTACCTGCATCATAAGCTTGCTTGTCATCACTTTTGGTAACTTTTAGTTATATTTCCTTATTTGCTAGATAAGCGACTTAAATGTAATAATTTTTATGAGCAAAGTCCACTTATTATGCTTAGTATCTTATATGAGATATAATGAATATGGTGGAAAATTTCATCTAAGCCAAAACTCTACTCCAGAGGATGTGCAATAAATGGAAATGAAACGCTAGAAATAATATTTGCCTAATTTTTATATAATATAATTTTTATTTTCATATAATTTATTGAGAAGAATGATCGCTTGGCATCGACTTTCTCGCCTTTTTCTTTCGTAATTGATGCTGATCGAGTCATAAGAGAAAAGTGATATGCTAGGCTTCTTCGCTAAATTCTTTCATTTGCTTTGGTTCAAAGATAATTCATTATGAAAATTCTTTCATAAAAAAATTTTCTCTATTCCTTTGCAAAAACGAGCGCTGCTCCAAGAAGGAATAAAACAGTCCTTCAGAATTCCGGATTGTGCTGACAATCCATCTGCAATTTTATGGCGAAAGTTGGATTGTTTCCCTGCAAAATTTGTAGGACCAGGAACCAGCGCCTACCAGAAATTACGAGCGCGCTTCATTTTTTCACTAGCATAAGGATGTTGAAATGACTAGAAAATTATTCCGCTGATTTATTAGCAGAGAAATTGAAATATACAAACTCATAATCCGATAGCCTATGTTCTGAAATATGTATATTTCTATAGGTTTGCAAATAAACCAGTTCCAAAGGCATAATTTTAAGAATTATTTAAATTGTAAAATGCATAAATTTTTATATAAGAATATCCACGAAAATTTGAAAAAAAGCTAAATTCGGTCCATCAATTTTTCATAAATTCATGTTTCGTTCAATTTGCGTCGATCTTAAGTTATTATTATTAGCAATAACCGATTATAGGATTAACAATAAGCACTCTGAACTCTCGTAGATATTTCCATAAATTATTAATTCAAACGAATTGTCACAAAATGGATAATCAAAATTACATTTAAAAATACTTGAAGTATTTTAAAATCATCCATTTCACTTGAATTTTTTTTAAAGAGTTCTCACCATTACTGGTTAAACTCGTTCCACTGGCTTGTCACATGGGGCAAATTGCATATAATTATGCCAGTCCCTTGGCGATAGAAGTAAAGGTGAGTCACCTGGATTACTGTACAGGTTTACTCCTGCGGAGATACGAATCTCAGCATCGTCACTCTCAATTGGGCAATAACCCACTGAGCTATATTTCAAGTGAATAAAATTAAATTAATGAAATCTTTTAGACAAGAAAATTTTTTAATTAAATTTTATGCAACAAATTAGAAGAATTCTTATGATTTTTTTTTGTTTCAGACATATTACTGATAACACCATCAGATGCATTACCTTTTCCCGCATACATCGATCCTTTAAAAATTGGCGATAGTGATTCTTTTTACATTGAAAGTGGAGGACGAGGAAAAAAATGGACAAGGATTGAGCCGAGTATTCGTTTTGCTGGAAGCAGAAATCCTTTTTACTGATTCGATCCTATCTTTTTTTCCCTTCATTTAATTATCTTTATGAATTGCATCGATTTTGAAACAAAAATATAACGCAATTGCTAATTTTTTTTTTCTAATGGTGCAATAAGTGAATTATTATCCTTATTTTTGTAATTTCGATGCATTTGAAACTGATAAAGTGGTTAGGAAAACTGATTAGAACCGAAATAATAATTAATGAACAAACAAAAATTGGTATATTTAACTTGGAAAATAAGACGAATTCTATTTTAAAAAATAAACAAATATATAATTTTTTAAATTAATTATTTTATCACTTTTCTTGCAAAGATTTTTTAAATTTAAATTTTTTTTGAACTTTTAGAGATATATAAAATCCATAAAAGAGAAAAACTAAATCATCATCCATTCATATATTTAGAAATTTTGCAAAATTTCCGTTCAATAAAACTAACTGATAAAAAAAAGTTTTAAAAAATTTGCAGTTGTTACTAATTTTATGCCTTAAAGGCAAAATAGCGAGCGATGAGAAATTTTTAGTGAGCAAATTTCATTGACTTTTTTTTCCGTTCTTATAGGATTTATAAAATATTAAAATAATGTCAGTCATAATTTAATGTGTTGAAGAAGAATTTCTGAGATATATGACAATGCGAATAATCTAGTAAATGCGAGGACTTCACTATCTAATTCGGTATGTACTATAAAATATTCCCATCATATGGATTTATATATTTTAAATTGGTGGTTCCTTTGATGATCCATGAAGAAGAAAAAAATTTATCATTGGTTACATTATTAGTTCCAGTGGATCCTTCTTAAAGATTACTTCAATAAACCTACAACAGCCGTGTATTTAATTTAGTTTTAGTGTTCCTAGAAATATGTACCTTCATTTCGTAAAGCAAATAAGTAAATTGGTCTTCTGTTCCCAAGCACTGTTCTATTTAATACCATACCATAATTCCACCATTTTTGATCAGATTCTCTCCACAGATTTCTCAAACCAGTCTAATTTTTTCTGCCTGGTGAAGTATGGATGATCAGGTTAGCATCACCAGGATTTTTGAAAATTAAGTTTATTCCGGCCAGCATCATCGCTCTGAAATGAGAGCAACAACAGTTGAGCCATTCCACTCAATTATTAGCTTCAGTTAGTTTGTTAATGTCTAGTCCACTCCATTTTGATCACAAAATAGTCAAAGACTTTCGTTATATTCGGAAATGTCAAGTTGCGGAAATATTAGTGGATCCGCATTTCTTCAGTGGCAGGTTGTTTGTTTATTCATACCAATGTCAAGTAATATAAAACTATAATATAATATTCCTCCCTACCACTATCTCCTATTTTTCCCCCCTTCCTCTCTTCCTTCCTCATTCTTGCTGTCTTTTATTCTAATAAAATAAAAAAAAACGAAAAATAAGAAGCAAAGAGGAATTTAACGAGAAATACAGTAAATTTTATTGCATTTATTTTTTATAAAGTTTATATGCAAGAAAATATTTATAATCACTTTATAATCATTTACAATATGCAAAAATAATTAAAATAAAAATTTAAATAAAATAAAAATTAAAGAAAATAGATATACATTGAAATCTGGATTATTACTTTCGTTCTATTTTTTGGAATTTAGGAAAATTTATGCTTAATTTATAAGTTTGTGATCAGCTACTAGCTTGTCTATCTCTTGCGAGCCAAGTTTGTATAGCAGCCAACCCTCTTCAGCGCTCAAATTTCTAGCGTGCATCTGAAAATAGAAACCATTTTTACTTTTTCGAAATTTTATCAACACATATTCCATTTTAACACTTTAAACTATCGTTATTAAGTAAAATAAAAAGACCTTTTCGTAAAATTCCATGGCATTGGTATTCCAGTTTAGGCAAATCCACTGCATTCTCGCTATACCTCTTTCTTTAGCCACCTAAAATTATAAATGAAATAGAACATTTTGGATGATTTTTCTATCTTATAATTGCTTCTGAGATCTATCTGAAATAGCACCTAGCAACTTCCATGCGTGCCAGAAAGAGAGCAAATCCTAGTCACCTCAAAAAAATATATTACGATTAATCAGTAAATTGCAAGCAAATTTGCCTTCACTTGAAAGATTTACCATAAACAAATATAAAAAAACCATGGTACCGAGAAATTTATCGTAATTATTATTTATCACTAAGAAACCATTCTATTTATAAAAATAACAAAAAGTTTTATAACTAACTTTTACAGCCTCCATCCAAAGCTTCTTACCTATGTGAAATCTTCGATATTTCTCTCTGACGTAAATACTTTCCACATTTATGATCTAAACAAATTCATGTGAGAAAAGTAAGAAATCCTATCCAGTGCGATGTAAAGAATTCATTTATTAACCTGATTAACCCATGTGGAATAAGAGTAACCAAAAAGTACCATACCAATTGGTTCTTCCCCATCAAAAGCGATGAATCCGTCCACATCACCTAAAAACATTATTGTTTGAATAAAGCAAAACATTTCAGTCGATCATCAATTAACTGGCCATGGCTAATTTTTTTTAAAAATGTTTCCTTGTCTTTGAATATTATTTAATAAAAAAAATGAAGGACAGCAGTAGAAGCATTGCAACATTAAACCAGTATCACCTTTCAGACTGTGGAAATAATTTGAGATTTATTGTGGATTTTAATAATTTCTGATTGAATCTTTCCCATTTTAATTTTAATTTTATGCCTTATAAGGATTCGTAAATTGATCGTATGATAAAAAAATTTCACATGAAGAAAATTTTTTAAAATTCTGCTTGGCCAAGAAGAATTAAGCCTTTGGACCTACTAGATTTAGTAAAATCCTAAATAATTGCAGCATCATCTATAATTTTAACACACCTCGCTGTTTTGTCCTGATGAAACTATACTACAATAATGATTACAAAGTCAGCAATGCCAACAATCATATGAATGAATTACAGTAAAAATAAAATGTTTTAGCGGTTATTGTCGTTTTAATAAAATAAGGAACATAGTGGTAGGAAGAATTTGAATTTTTTTCCCTTTTATGAAGTTTTCTTAGCTATTTTTTGGTTTCCTTTGGCTATTTTGCTATGTTTTTCTTTGTTTTCTTCAACATTAGCCTATGACTTTTGGATATGCCTGCTTTAGCACAAAATAAATAAATGGATAAAACACTATAGAATAGTAGTTTGAAAATATATATTGAGTGTATTAAATATATGAAATGAGGAAGAAGCCATATTGATTCACCTCTACGAATATCACTACGTAATTTTTCCTCTGTGTTCGTGACTTGGTCAAGCATTTTCTGAAATTCTGCCTCTTCCTGAAATTTTGGAAATAAATATAAATAAATAGGTCAGCTATAAAATTTCTGATAAATTTCCTTCAATTCAATTTATAATTCCATGGCATTCATGCATCTTATCGTGAAGATCCTAGAATAAGGGCTTTTTTGGTGTGAACTTGCTTGGCAATTCGGATGGCATATTTATATGATCGGGTGTTTCGCTTTTTGAGAATATATAAAAATTAAGTACATAAGGTGTCAGGTACGGGAATTTTTGTTGGTAAGGACCTCATATAAACTGCCAGCTGTAGCGTAATTTCTCGTTTATAATAATTCATGAATTTCTTCCCAACTTTTCATGGAATTGTTGAAATCTAACGACCAATCTCGAGAAAACTAGAAAATTGGAACTAAGTTGCAAGGAAATCTCGTTATGTACTTGAAAAATAATGCGAGAAATACCTTGGTCATAACAATGAGATTTCTAGCATGTTTTGGTTCAATTCGTTGAATAACTAACGATTTCAACGTTGACATCTAAAATTTGCGGCGATATAAATGAAATAACAATTAATAATGGCAAAAATCTGGCTTTCGCTGAGAAATGTTGTCGTATTTTGCATTTAACCATGTCCTAGCGAACAGTCATGACAGTCCACTGCTCATTCTGGCAATAATGCAGTTCTATCAATTGTTTCTCAGCATGTACATCCTGAACAGTTTTTTAAGTAGTTAAATTCTACGGATATCATATTTTTCTTCATCTAGAAACGTTCATCATTTGAGTAACTTTACTAGATATTAGTATAAGCTTTCCGAGGATTACTTGAAGAGATACAGATATAGCCTCCAGCGGATTTCATTTTAAGTGAAGAAGATTATTTTCTTATGAGACAAAAATTAAAGCCATGAAGCTTGATTTTATTAATTATTTTTAATTTTAATTATTAATTATTTAAATATTTTGAAAATTAAAAATGAGAATTAATGAGAAATAAAACAGAAATTAGATGGCAAACCAAAAATTAATGATAAAAGAATTTCATACAAGAGAAAAACCAACAAATTTTTCCCACCAATTAAAGGTTCTTCAGGTTGACGAAAACTGCATGGAGCTGTTGCGAAATCAAGAATAAAAACAGAAGACCGCATCTATGCAGCTTCGATTCGCTCGAACTTGTTATATTGTTGCGAGACTGATCGATGAGAGTGGAGGATATTAAGAAGCTATCTGTCTTTGACCACTCTTATCCAAGGTATATTTTACGGGTCTGTCGAGCGGATAGATATCACATGATCGCATCCATCTTCGTTCAAATACCACTTGCATTAATAATGTTATCACAGAGCGTCGCCTTCGCTGGTTAAGGCACGTTCTCTGTCGTCCACCACAAGAGTTGTCGCATATTTCGTTACTTGCTAAACCGTGTGATGGTTGGCGTCAAAAGCGAGGTGGGCCAGTCAAGACCTAATCTGATACGGTGAGAAAAGATTTTGAACGTATAGGTGAACCAGCAATATATGGACTTAAACGATGGAAAAAGGAATGGCTTCTATTACTGTCGACGATATCATCAAACCGCGCCGCTTGGAAGCGTCTTACCCTTGTAGCCAGTGGAGCCAGCCTAAAGTGAGAGTTGTTAAAAAAAGAAAGAAGAAGAATTTTCAGGATTTTATTCCACACACTGAGTCATTTGAAATGTTGGTAGGTTAGAACTAAAGCCTCGATTAGCGATGGCAATCATCTTGCCACTGAGCCACCAGAAACCGATTATCTTCTTAACTCTACGGTCAAATTTAACAAAATTTTGTAATGGTACTCTTAATGGTACTCGTTCATTGATGATAAAATAAGAGAATCAAATGAACCGATTTTTTCAATAATCAGAAGGCTATCTGATTAGATGGACGGAACTGCATTGTTGAAAATTCTTAATTAATTCAAAATCCTTCGTCGGTGACACTAGCAAGTAGCCACTTTTCGTCGTAATGCACGCTTCTCCACGTGGATTTCGATACTTTTTCAAGGACTACGAATTAGAATTCAGAATAAGTCATAGTCATGCTTTGTGCTAGGAATAAAAAAAGTGTTCGATAAAAGAAAGATTTTAAAGAGATTTCTAAAATTTTAAAACAATGCTTAATAAGTTAAGTTAGCGTCTTTTATATATAGAAATTTTTTCAGAGAAAATATGTTTGTTGAACAGGTTTCTCGCAAATAAAAGCAAAGAAAAAAAAGGGCAAATTAAAACAGCGTTTCCATTTTACCAGCCAGAAAATTGATGGCAAATACACCCACTGTTTATTAATCACTGATCTGTAATTTTGTAAAAAACTAAATAATTGATCCTCGAACTTTATAAATATTATATTTCATAAAGGATGGATTGCAGGATTGCATAAAAGTAAAAATTTTTAATGTTTTTGGCTGATTTTACGGCAAATACTTGAAATTGATAATAAAAATAACTATTTATTCGTCTTTAAGGAATTTTCGAGTTGGAAATTTTTCAATAATAGCCAATGGAACCAACAAATGAGAACTGATAAATTGGCATTTGCATATCTCTGAAACTGGCGTTAAACAGATAAGTCAGACAAATACTCTTTAAACTCTTAATATATCGCTTATCTTTTGATAAGGATTTCGTATTTCTGATTGCGTGAAAAAATAACAAAAGTTATCTTGAATTTATGCAATAAGTTGAATTTTTCTTCGATTTGGTATGTTAGAAGTTCGCAAAAAAAAATCACTATATTTGAAATATTTTTTGAAAAAAAAAGCAATAAACAACTTTTTCTTAACCTATGCCACAAGAAAATTGATAACAATTATCAGTCAAGCAAAATTTTTTTTGTGAATCGTACATTTCATTTTTACTTCATTGAACATGCGAGCGTGGTTGTTTCAGCTTTGCCATATTCTCGTTGAATGAATTTTAATTTTAAGATTTTATTTCAAATTTAATTATATTTTTGATAAATAATTATATATTTGTAATTGGCATTATCTATATGAATTCTGCTCAAAATATGGATTAGAACCTAGTAAGACCGAATGGGAGAACCATTAAAAATTTGTAGAAAACAACAAGGCCAAGATACTGTGGTACTCCTCACCTGGCAGAGAACTCGGGGCTGAAAGCTTAACCACTCACAGGGGAAATGAGAAATGGATATTTTATTTTCCAGGCATTTTTTTACTGCATTTTCAGAAATCTACTTCATTATTTATTTTGCATAATGCATATACATAATTATTATTCGACTTGAGTAATATTCAAAGAACGTTAAATTTGTTCACTACAAATTATTATAATAAGGTCAACGAGGTCAGCTAAAAGTGATTTGCGAGAAGCGATAAACTGCATGGCTGTTAAGCTTGGAGTATGAATATTGTGTCGAGGTGTCAAATATTTTCCTGTAATCAATCGACTACTATTTGCAACAATTGGACAACACTATCAGTGATTTGCTTCGGTATCTGCGAATTATCTATTCGCAACGATTCAACAATTATTAAATCGGCCAGTAAAAAACTTTGCAAAATAAATCTCTAACCAATATTAGACAATATTACAGGTAAAAAAAAATTATGTTTTATTGTTTGCTTATGATAAAATTCATGACTTATCACTCATAATGGTTAAAGGAAAAGATAAAGAAATAGTTACAGCAATAATCCTCGATCTTTGTTCCGGGAAATCAGAAAGGAAAAATTTACATATTTATTCATTTTCATGAGCCTTTAAACTATCGAATTTACTTTATCCGCCACTTTTATGAATTTTTACGGATTTACGGATAACCGATTACGATGGTAATAATTTTGCCATAAACCATAGAAACCACAGAAAATCCCCAAATCACACTTCCTTTTTAAATAATCCAAGTAGTGATAAATTGATTATTAAAGTTGTTGTCATCCTATTCGATATTTCAATACTTTTTTATATATCATTATCAATTTATTTGATATCAACAATATTTTTTTTTAGATGGCAAGTTTTCCTTTAATATGCAACGCAATTCACAGTAAATTTTACTTAGAATCGATAAAACGTCGTTCAAATAATTCTTCTTTAAAAGAAAAAATAATACAATTCGGATTAAATGCTAATAAAATAATTCAACGAAAAATCATGCTTTCTATTCCAAAATTTTCATCAGAAAAAACTACAACTCAAAGTGAGTAAAAGTAAAAGCGTTTACGCTAAATGTGCCCACTGAATATAAATCGCTTATGCGACTTAGATGGAGCGACGCTCGCTGCTGATCCATAAAATGCTAGCGATCCACGTCTATTTCTATCGCCGAGGATTTGCCTAATCCGATAAACGACCTCAACCGGAAATCGTGAATGTTCATAGCAAAAAATCTGCCGAAAAAATAATAATGAATGAGTAATTTTTCGACCCAATACTGTCGTATATTTTAAAACATTTTTTAAAAAGCGACCAAATTCGAAACAAAAAATTTTTTGCCTTTTTTAGAAAACGATGAACGATTATCTCCTCAACGCTCTTTTCATATTTGTTTGTAGCAAATTTTTCACGAAATGAAGATTTTCGCTATTGTTCAATGAATTGTTTCTTCAACAATAAAATTATTTGTATTTGATTAGTTTCAATAAACAAGAAAAACAAAACGAAACTTTCAAAATTATTTTCAAATGAAAACTTTCAACGAAAACATTACAAAAATCAGTAAAAATCAATCAGCGAACAAAAATAAACTAAATAAACTAACATTAAATTTGTTGCGAGCGACACCAATTCAAACAATTACAAACGGATTCTCAGCTGACAGAATCAATTAAGTAAAAAAAAAAAGAACAGAAATCTCGCTAATAACAAAGTTTAAAAAACAAAATTTATGAGAAAAATGAAAAATGAGGGAAAAAAGAAAAATAACCTTAAAATCGTCTATAATTGTTTCGTTTGCAGCTATTTTGCAAATAAAAATTGCAATGAATTACATTTAAAAAAATAAAGGTTTTAAAATTTTAAAATATGAAATTAAAATATATGAAATTTAGAATTTGTGAAATGAAAAAATTTAAATAAAAGAGATTTTTTAAAAGTTATTCCTTTATTTTTTTTCGAAGTAAAACAAGATAATTGAAAAAAATTAAACACGAAATAGATTTCATAAATTACGACTTTCTTTCGATATTTCGCTATCATTTTCAAAAAGATCATGTTTCCATATGCCATCTGACGCGCTTTTTCCATGACGCCTTTGACTGTCTTGTCGATTTCGGCTTGAAGCATCACCTATATCGTCGTTTCTATCAGAATCATAAGCCTAAAATGTAATGAATTACTTAAAATAGCGAAGATAAAAAATATGCCATAAATATAATTTCTGAAAATTAAACAAAACGAAATAGAAATAAAGGAAAATTGGATTAAAAATTTTTAAAATTTAAAACTTTTAAGTCATTAAAACTTTAAAAAAAATGATCAATTCACTCGTGCAGCATTCCGCCAACCAACAGGAGCGAAATTCATTCTTCTTGTATTACTTCTCCGCATATTACGCGAACGAATAGGTACATTAGTTCGATCATCGTGCTTCAATTATTTATTCATAAACAATTACTTTTCAAAATAGCAAAGAAACTGACCAAATTTTTATAATCATTATCATCATTTATTTATTTATTCGATAGTTAATTCAAAAAATTTCATGAAATTTGTGATAGATGTGAAAGATTTTGTTTTTTAAAGATTTTGTAAGACTTTGTTTTAATTTCGTTCAAAAGACTATTTCATTAAAATTGAACGGTCATCACTATATCAATTCCAAAATAAATGAATATCGACTGCAAATTTCAAAAATGTGCCCTCAAGGAGAAAAGAAAGTATACCAATAACATCAAAATTAATCAAATAATGAACAAAATCATTAATTAAAATCGAAAATCAAAAAAAAAAAAAATTGGAACATTAAAAATAAATAAAAAAAATTCCTAAATATAAATTGTTGGTTCAATTTGTGAAACGATTCTTAAGATGAATGAGGTCACTGGACAAACAAGATCACATTTAATTTAATAAAGCAATTTAATGAACATGAAACATTTTGAAACATTATACTTACTGTGAAATATGATTTTCCGGTGGGTACCTTACATGGATCAAAAAGATTCATGACTGGTTTTTCAGAATTTTCTTTCGTTGTTGCCTCGGAACGAATTTCAAAACGTTGTGATCTACGATCCGTTCGTCCTGAAGAAAACAACTGTAAATAATAAAAGAATCTTAAAATAGTTTTAAAAAAGGAAAAGATAAATAGTACCAAGCATTAAATTCTAAAAAAATAAAAAATAAAGGCAAAATTCGAGATCAATAAAATCAAATAAAACTTTATAATAGGTATAAAAAAATTTTAACAAGTTTTCTTTTAGCAAATTTTCGTTCAAATAATAAAGAGAAGAGAATATGTTAAGAAATATATGCCAACTGGGCTTATCAACATATTTAAATTCAGTTAATATTGCGAGAAAAAATTATATAATAGCTGGATAATTCGGAAATTATTAAACAGTTAAAGATATACCATATGGAAGGCGATGTTCCATGTTATCTCGTATCCCTCTTCCATTTCGCGGCATGTTGCCGCGGAAGAATTGTCTGGAAAACAGCAAAGCCGAACATAATAAAGTTTCATTCCTAGTTTTCAAATAAATCATTGAATCAAGTGAAACCCACTGTTTAGATATAAAAAAATTTCAACTGACTTCGATGAGATTCTGACTTATCTTGATAAACATTATCGGTTACATAACCTAACCGTTATCATCGACTTACCCTGAGCGATTTTCAAATCCACTGAAAAAAATAAATAGAAAATATAAAATGAAATAAGCTAAAGATAATAATTTATGTTCTCACAAATTTGTAGGAAAAACTAAAAATAATAGTGCAAAAATTTATGAACAAATAAAAATTTTCAAATTGTAATGAATGCTGTTTAATTTTTTCAACGAATAATTAAATTAAATCAACGCATCTTAAATCACATAGTAAATAATAATGCAGCATAGTTAATTCGTGCCAAGGTTTCGACTCCTCTCCCCGGAGTAAAATATTTAAAATATAAAAATTCAGGTGATCCAAATGTATGCTAGGTGATCCCTCAAGCAAAAACTTTATTATTTAATAAAGTTAACCGTAATAATAGTTAGCAGAAACAACTAATTAAAAATGGTGAATGCTATTAGTATCTTTTTATTAAAATTTTATTTGAACTCCCAAAATATACTAATCAAATTAATTTAGGCCAATGTCTAAAAAATTATTTTTAAAAGAAAATTTCAAACACTTACTTAGTGTATGAATTTCGTGAAAATCCAAGACGACGATTACCGAAACCAATCTGTGCAAAACCTGAGGAAACCTGATGACGATTGCTCTAAAATACCAACTTTCTCTTCAAAGAAAATTCAAATACACTAAGTTTACAAAAAATTGACTTTATTTGAACAATACATATTTTTCAATAATTTGACCTTTAAAAAAACCTTAAAAATTATAAAAAAAACTAACTTTATTAGATGATGTAACAACTTGAGATTCACCTGAAAATATACAACTATCCACTCTACAATTATCAAAAATTTGGTTTATAAGGCCATTCTTTCAGCAGATACTTATCATAACTACAACATTGATCCAATCATTACCACTGCCAAAAGCTAAAGAATTTAATTAGTGATATTAACACCAATTAAAAACTGCCTATCAGAAAAACTTTTAATATTTAAAAATCAGCTTATAGCCGCTCGAATGACAAATACATAAATATATTAAACTATATTAAATATTTTTATCACGAATATTATTCAAATATTTTCATATTTTTATCACAAATAAACTAACAATTTCACACGTTTCGTTTTTAATCGTGAACACGAAAAACCTATATAAACATTTTTCGAACAACATTTTTTGCTTTCTATGAATTATTATCAAAGAAAAAAAATGAATTAACAGCGATCTATATAAAATATATCTGTATAAATATATCTATATCTATCTATAGATCTCTGATAGTTTATACATGATATATGTGATGACATATATGTGATGTTATATATTATAGTTCAAAAACTTGACAAATATTCGGTTTAACTTCTAATTATTAATTATCAATATGTCCGACAAATTATTAATTTTTTCCTCTGTGTAAACAAATAAATGAACAAAATAATTAAAACAGAAAGGAATGGTTTTCATTTTCAAAAATTTCAAAATTTTGAGAAGCAAAATTTAGCAAAAAAAATCTCCTTTTTCTGGTGCACCGTTTCTGATTTGATTTCACTAATTATTAAAATCTTCCATCAAAAAAAAAAAAAAAAAATGAGATAAAAGCAAATGCGTGCCTATAGCAAATTACCAATATATCAATTTGATAAAAGGCTTAACTGATAATTTTACTGCCTTCAAATAAATCGAATCCAGACGCCTTCATCAACAATTGAATGACATCATTATCATTAATGAAATAATGATGCAAAAGTTTCGAGAAATTTGTTCATGATTATTAGAAGATAAAATTATTTTAGGGATAGAACGACCCCTTTGTTCACATTTCGGAGTTGACGCTATGGTTCTACCTCGAGCAGAATTAAAATAGTCTTCCAAAAATCTAATTCGTGCTAATAAACCAGCTCCAAGTGACACCACGTGGCAAAGATGCATGGCCCGATAAGCCAGAAAGATAAATTTAACCAGAAATGATGAGCACTTTAGAAAAATAAAGCAGAATTAGCTAAAAGGCAATAAAAACAGATTTTGAAAAGAGCTTAGTTTTAAAATTAAAAAAAAAATTCACCAGCAGTTTGCTTTTCCTCTTTTCGAACAGTTAAATTTAAAAGGTCGAGTTCATTAATTGGCGCGGGTTTCTTACGAATAGGCGAGTACCTATCTCGGTGGTGTTCTCGTCCTCCTAAACGATTTAATCGCGTTACGCTTCTCTCTCGGCTTCGCCGTCGATTTCTTCTACTTTCACTCGTTACTTTTTCGTTATTCTGTACTTTTCTTTCTTCATTCCGATTTTTTGAATTTTTCGATATTTTCAAACTCATCGAAAATCTAAAAAAAAAACTGATTCTGACTGATAATCAGTTAATTTTTCAGGCGAAAATACTGAAAATACCGCAAATTATCGAATAAATTTCGAGGAAATAAAAAAATTATATTTAAATAAAAAAAACTTAAAATAAACTGCAGCAGAAAATAATTATTTTTAAAATAGCAACAAATATTTTAAACATTAATAATTTTTCTAATAAAAACCATTTAGCTGTTGAAGCGAACAATATTTTTTTTCTATATTTTAGAAATTTTTTTAACAAATCGTAACAACGTCGAGTTTTTAACTTAAAATACTGGTGAAGTTTCGTTGTTTCGTTGCACCAGAAAAATTTTGCGAAAAAAATCATTTGGTGATAAAAATTTGGGTGAGTGACCCAGCATTATGCCGAAAATTAACTTATAAAATAATATTTAAATAGAAATAAAAAGATAATTTTTCTAAGGGAATAAAAAAATAGTCTAAACTACTTTTAAAGTATAGCAAAAAGGAAAAAATTGTGAGAATCGAGTTGTGAAATAAGTGAAATACGAAACACTTAATCGACCTTGTTCACCGCCTTCCTATACCCCTCCTACCCCTCAAACATTCCACTGCGAGAATGTCAGCCTATCAAAAAACGATAGACAAATGTGAGTTGTGACTCTGAGGCTGAATTATAGAAATGAATCAATAGTCGGCTGCAGCCACAATAAAGATATTTTTATATATGATTGTATATCCTGGTTGGAGTGGGTGTTAGTGTGGTCAGAAATTTTCAGCAGGAGTTAGTTGGCCATAGAAGTGCAGGTGAGTACCATGCGGTTCTTTCCTTCCTTCTTCTGATGACAAGTTCATTTACTGTTGTCGAGGCAGAAACCGAACCTCTGCCTCTCAGCACGATTATCTAAATCATTATCTATTTGTCGCTGTTGCACTGCTTGCGGACGTTTCTGAACCAAATTAAACAAAGGTGATAAGGTGATAATTAAATGATAATATAGTTTTTATACTGAATCATTGTTTGGATTGTTAATGTATTTAATAGATCGGAAGGAATGAAAAAGAAAAACACGAAAGAAAAAAGGATACGTGGTGATATAACAATGGAGAGGAAATATTTAAACGCTGGAGGACCTAAGCTGCCGAGAAGTTTCAGTAAATGTTAATGAAATTTGAGCGGATATTAGAGGGTGTTAACGAAGTGATAAGATAAGATATTCAAGAGATAAAGTTTTTATGGCAGCGCCGAAAAAATTTGGTTTATCGGAACGTACTAAATGAGCACATCGAGTCGTTTCACAATTTATTTGATTTTTATTTAGAGGCATTTTTTTTTAAGAGTCCTCACCATTACTGGTTAAACTCGCTCCACTGGCTTGTCGCAATTGCGCAATATGCCAGGGAGTCCAGGCGATAGAAATACAGGTGAGTCGCCAGCATCTGGATTTTTGCACAGGTTTACTCCTGCAGAGAATCAAATCTCAGCATCGGCGCTCCCAGTTGAGCAACAACCCACTAAGCCATTCTATCCCCCGACATTATAGTAAAGTCTGGAAGAGTGCTCACTTCTAATAGCGGAGGTACCATTATTAAATAGGCTGGCTGTGCTGGCTATAAAGCTTAGGCTTCTTCCAGTGTCATATCTAAAAGAAGAAACCGTACTTTCTTCCATCACCTGGGTCTCTTAATTTCTACTTTCTTGCCGCAGTTCATCGCAAGGCCAGTGAGATATATGTCATTCATGGAAATATGCATTCATTTATCAATTCGTGGAAATAAAAGTGAAGAGCGAAAAACAGGCCTAACCAGTATACCGACTCTGCTGTGATGCGAATATAATCAAGTGAGGCTCTTTATCAGCTTGGCTGATACATAAGATATACCTTAGGAAAGAATGGTCACAAGTAGATATCTTCCTGATATCAACTTTGGCATTACACTGCACCTCTGATTTGGCAACGATTTCCCCAAAGTTTCACAAGACTTAATTGTTGATGAAAAAATAGATTTTGGTAAAATTGGCGCAAATTCTGATGATTACAGTTATCAAAGTAAAATCATTTGGAATTTTAAACTAAATGTTTAGGCTACTTAAATATCGAAAAATCCAGGTTATCTTAGTTGCCACTGGACTATCACTGTGAATATTGTTTTATATCAGATCAGGTTTCTCAGATTTCCAAAGCTTTTGGCTGTCGTTAGGCCAAATGACTGAGAAATTCTTTACTAACCTAACTAACTGGGCAAAACATGAGGCCAACATTGCAGCCAAGTTTTAATCGCATTAATTTTTGTCATAATTTTTCTATTAACATAAATCTTGCTTATATCAAAACGTTTGTTGGACCAAACAGGTTTTGCCTGCGAGTCGGTCATTTAATTTATGTTCACCTGCAATTAACATGGATTGAATTTTGGTGAAAGTTTAATGCAGTAGAGTACCAGAAATATTATTAGACTTTTTAAAAACTTTATTATTCCAATTTGGATCTTTTGTAAATTCATTTCAATTACTGGACATCGGATGGTACTTTCACATGTTGCCGAAGATCCAAACTCTACTTCTTTCTCTTCCGCATGACTCTTTGGTGAAATGGTAACATTCTAATAGCCATATAGAAACCAGAAATGATGAATGCTAAGAAGATCAGATTCCGCTGAGTATATTTGTTACAGCATACGATCGATAGGAAGGAAGATTTTTTTTGGAGAAGGAAGATGGATTAACAATAAATTTTTCCAATATTTTTCTTCATTTTTGCAAAGTTTTAAAATGTAATTTTTCAAAAAAAAATCATGTTGAATGGCTAAAAATAGGTCATTGGCTCTCATTTTTCGGAGTACCAGTGCTGTGGTTCCACAGGGGAAGCGCACAAAGAAAAGCACTGACAACTCACCCTCTATTTGGTGCATTTCTATCACCAAGTGACTCTCTGACATGATTCCTCTGGTCCGACTAAACCATCAAAGCGAATCTTACCAGAAATGGTGAGAAAATGGTGACACTCTTAGAAAAAATATCTGTCTACTCTGAATGTTTGAATGTCATTTCGTTTGAAAGCAAGCAGTAGGGATTTGATTCCAAAACTCAAACGCTTCATTTAAAACGAAATTAGCCAATGTTGGTGACATCTCACTTCCGTTCCACGTCACCTAAAGTGATTCCCCGGTGAAAGAGGGCATCTTAAATGGTCAGTTAAATGAACCAAATCAAACCAGAAATTGTGGGTACCAATACCACTATTTTAGATTTATGCTATCGACTTTTCATTTCACGATATTGATTTTTATGAAGAGAGAATTAAAGAAAAAATGGAAACAAGTGGAAGAGAGATATTGATAATTATTAACCAAACCCTATTTTAAATGGGTATTTTCGCCTTATTGGGTTTGGTGAAGTTCGAGGTCACGTCCTCCTGACCTTTTGACCTTTTGAAGTGATCTTCTTGCGTTTTGTTCGGGGTCGATTGTTGCATTCTATTCATTATAACCTGTAATAATTTTTTTATTCATTTGACTTCTTCTCTCATTTTGTTTTTAATATTTGAACTTCGATTCAGCACAAATGTGATTTTTGTCATCGCGAAGTAAAAGGTCAAATTCTTTCTTGACCTTTCGTTTCTTCCTGACGAGCGTTCTATCAAATCCTCGGCGAGAAATTTTAGCACAAAATTATGTTCTAAATGATTTATTGTAGCAAGAAAAGATGGTCGATCACGGCCGCTTTCGAGGCCCTCGATTTTATCACGCCCCCATTATATTATATATAAACAGTCCTCACCGTTTTCATGTCCCCCTGGTTTCCTCCTCTTGTGACACGCTCTTTAGTTCTCCTTCTTCTCTCTTATTGCCTCCCTCAAATCCTATTACATTCCATCTTAAACTCTATTGTATATTGCCTGAGCTGTTCAAACCCTTGCTGTCGTACCCCTCTAAAATCTCTTTCTTACTTCCTTAAAAGTCCGCAGTTCTTTCTTTCTTCATTATTTTCTAGAATTGCTTATATTTATAAATTTATAAAAACCTATTTTTTCCTAAATAATAATTTTATTATAGATTTGTATGTTAAAAAAGAGAACATCGTTTATAATGAATGGTTGTGGACAACAAATTAATGGCGATGATGCGCGGCTAATTTCAGCGAATCAAAAGAGACACGCTTTACTTAAAGTAAGTTAATTATAATTTATGAAATTAATATTCTTGCAGTACCATTAAAATACTGATTTTGTGGTTTTGCTGGTTCCACAGATAATTTTCATACCGATTCAGCAGCGACTTACTTGAGGATAAAAATGAAAAGGAAAAGAAATTCTAATAAATGAAGTTAGAGCGAGCGAAATTAAAATGGTGTTTACTGTTAAACGAAAAAGAAATTTCATAATGATAAATTTTTCCTTGATAAATGATAAATTTCATAAATTTTTCCTTTTCATTATGAAAAATTAAGGGAATTTTATGAAAAATTAAGGGAATTATCGTTAAAATCATTGAAGTAAAAGTAAAGTAAAATATAAAATATATATAAATATATAGTAATATAAAATACCAAAAAATGCATTTATTTGTTTATTTTTTTAGTTTTTCTTTTGATATTATTATATTTATTAATGTATTAAATTAATTTAAATGTTAATATTTTAGTAATAATTGCGTTTATTTCTTAATTTTTTTTAAATTGATTTTTTAAATATTAAAGATTTATTTATTTTAATTTTTTTTTAGTGCCTTGCTCACTGTCATGTCGTATTGGGCCTAATTATTTTCATATTGGCTGCGCTTGCCGATTTTATTAGTTCGCGAATAAGCACAATTAGATTAGTTGGTCTCGAAGAATGTTGTTCGTTCTATTTCATCGTCACTGGGTTCTTTTCCATATTTCTTTTATTTCAAAATATATAAAATATAATAAAATATAATTGATTCTGAGTTTACATTTCTAAGCTGAAATGTTATCTCTTAAAAACCTTACTTTTTCTTATTTTTTATTGATTTAAGACAAGGAGAAATTGAAATTCTTAATTTAGAATTTTATTAAATTATCAGTTAGTAAAGAAAATATTTTAAAATAGTGTGGATTTTTGGAAATTTATTTTTGTAGAATAAAATTAATTAATTGTTTAATTTATTTTAATTAATTATTTAAACTAATTATTTTAATCAATTATAATTTATTAAAAAAATTATTTGTAGAATAATTGGAATTTGTGGCGCAGCGAGTCATCGGCGAAGTATAATTATTGCTTTTATGATTATGAATATGCATGCGATATTAATTTTTGTACCAGCAATTGTAATTGTCTCCAGCTTTGACATTCATTTTTATCAGGTAAATTTTTATTGTAACAGAAAATAATAATTTCATTCGTATGGAATGTATTACAGTTTTTTTGCATTTATAACTATAATTGATTTCGAACTTATAATACATTACATATGGGAATTTTTATCTAAATTTTTCATAAGGATTTTTTGTTTATAATCTTCAAATCTGTTTAAATTTTTTTTATTTTATTTTTGCAACCATTTTCAGTTTTTTTACATTATTTTCAAAGAAACAACCTAATAATTTTCTCTTAAAAAGTCAGATAGAAATATTGGAAGACATAGTTGGAATTAAATGTTATAAAATCGAGTTTTTAGGCTGAATGCTTCGGCGAATGTGATTGGCATTTGTTGGCTACAAGTCTGCCAAAAAATAGCAGATGCCAAATACTTTGTGGCGAAAATATTGATGATAATAAGAGGAGGTTTATTTATTTATTTTTTCTTTTCGTGTGCATTTGTTTTTATCTATCAAATTTTTTATCTATCAAATTTTTAATGATTTTTATCTTTTTTAGTCCTACCTGTTTATTAAGCAAATTCTTGCCATATAATTGTAAGTTTCGCGGCATTATACGATATTGGCTTTGAATAAATATTATTTTTTTGGAAGCGAAAAATTTTTCAAAATTTTTTTATTGGAAGCAAAATATATGTTTGTTTTTTCAGTAGTTATCAAAGATTTTCCAATACTTTTTCAGTTCAATGACGCGGTTGGGCACAGAATATAGACTCGATGCTGGTATAATTGCTGCAACTATTTTGGAAATGTTTCTAGCTATTACATCGACAGTATTTTGTTGTCGAGAAATATGTGCGACTAAATCACGGATCTCAAAAAAAGATGATGAGGTATATAATTTTTTTGTAATATAATTTTTATAATATAATTTTTATATTTTTTCCTTCATTAAAGTTCCATATCGTATTATCCAGTTGTTTTTTTCCCTTATATTTCCTTTTTCAGACACGTCCAGTGGATATGACACCTCTTAAACAACAAGAAGTTCATCAAAATCAATAACTCATTTTATCGTTTTTTTTCTAATATTTGCCAAATTACATTGCAAATCTCATGTACAATATTTGTATTATAAATAAACTTTTTTACTTGCTTGCTTTTTTTACATAAATTAAATGAAATTTATAAGTAGGAAAGAAATCAAGTGGTTAGTTTATAAAATTTATAAAATATATTTCATATTTGAGGGAATTTAAGTTGAGTGATTTTTTTCGCCAAATCATTGCTTTTCTAATTATTTCTAAAAATTTCTTAAGAATTATTTTTAATTTTAATTGCACTATTGCTAGGTTGATGAATCGACTTTTCGGGAAATAACTATTTAAATTTATTTGTGGAATGGAAGATATACAAATTTTTTATTGCAGAATTAATTGCCAAAAGACCCAGGATTTCATCTTCTGGAAATGGCTAGTCAATTGCTGCACACCAAATCTAAGAGTTATCTTTGAGGAATGGCCTTATTATAAAATAATAAGCATAGATGCCCTGTAGAAATTGCCTTATCATCAAAGGCAGTTGAACAATTGCCAGTGGACTGATTTTTGTTTCTGTTTTTTTTTCTCTTCCATATTTTTATTTATTCGAACCACTTGTTTTATTAAAATTTGGATTATAAAATAAAGAATAATATAAACAGTATGATACAATAATAAGGCAAGGAATTAGTGGCCAATAATTTATCGATTTTGTTGACGAGTTCGAGCCATGCTAGCACGAACTTTGGAACGATGTCGTTCTCGAAGTTGTTTTAAGCGATCTCTTTGGTTATTGCGCTCCATTATTTTTTCCGCATCGGAGCTAGATTTTTATTAATAATTATTAATTTACGCACAAAATTCAAATTAATTATCCAGTCCAGAATCGAATTCAACAGAAACATGAGACAAGGATAGTCAAAAGAAGAAAAGAATATTAAAGTATAGGGCCACATGGAATCGCAGCTCGGTGCCTTATTTGGCCTTCGCGTCCCATCAGCGATCCTTTTTTGAATGCTTTCCTTGGCATTCCTTTTATCATGAAATTAAGAAAATGGCTCAAGTACCACTAAGAAGAAATGCAAATGGCTCGATTCCCATTTATGATCGAAGGAATTCGTTTTTTAATAATAATTAACTGAATTTTCTTATTGAGGCGTAAAAGAACTGACCTGGTATCAATAGCGTTGTCAGGGAGGAAGTACCACGTCTCACGAAACGCTTGACCAATAGGCACAAGTACATAAGCTCCACGCGACATCATATCACTGATTCGGTGTATTTTTTTCCCGTCCATATTGCACAACCTGATAGAAGATTCAGCTTTTTTCGGGGTTCTACGGCAGGAATATTTCCTGGAGCGCTTTTGTCACTAATCTTTTCAATATAAGTCACTTGAGGATTGGAGATCCCTAGCATCATTCCGATTTAATAACTGGTTTACTTCTTAAATTAAAGCCCAAATAAATTGTAAATCATGCCAACCATAATCACCGCTCTCATCTCAGCCATTCAATTTATCTTAGAAATGGAAAATGTGCGCTTTATAAATGACAACCTGGAGGGTTTAACACTGAAACGACGAGCAATTAGTTCCAAAATGAAATCCATTCCTTTTTCAAGTTGACTTCGTTTAAAATTTATATATTGCGACTCCATTCCCTGTCCATTTAAAAATACGCTAAAAACCTGAACTTTGCTTCATTGAAATAAATTCAAGTAAACTACCAATCTTTCACGAATTTCTTATCATCTTATCTCTGCATACTTATCGATATTTTGATTATATTTTATATGCACAAAAATAGAGCCAAAAGCCATAGTTAATAGAGAAATTTAGAAGAATTTGTCATTGTTTATCAGTGTCCATTAGTCTTATCGTTTAATAACATTGTGATATTACCCACTACTACTTCTACTACTACTGTGCTAAGGTTATCCTGTGGTCCAACAATATTGTTTTTATGGTTAATCGAAACCAATTGTCAATATTTTCGAGGATGATTTCAAAAAATAATACGCACTATATTATATAAACATCCGGATGCGTTTGATCTTTACGGTTGTAAATAACTTCACTACGTGATCTGCGTGCCGCACCATTGGTCCTAAAAATGCAATTTTTCTTCTTCCAACCGATACATGAACTATGTTTTGGCTGGCTGCACTAATTTAGTGAATATTGTTTGCCAGAAAATCAGTTGAGAATAGAAAAGATAGTTGAATTTTGCATTCACTTACAAGTTTTTTCTTCAAATGGTAAGCCTTTGAACAACTCATTCAGTACCTATTTATTTGGTTTTGATTGTTTTTTTTGGCTCTTTCGTAGACTGATTAAACGAAATTTTTTCAACCAACTTGGGTTTCTCAATCCTACAGCCATATGTTTTCCATATTACAGCTTTACATACTTTGGAAATAACAGAAAATCGGGATATATTATTTTTTTAGTTTTTGAAATGAGATCCCATATAACAAACATTTTATGGTTTGGATTCATTCCTCTCTTTCTTCCATGCAATTCACCAATTTCTTCGCCAGATTCTCGCATAATTGATTGATTTTTTACAGTCGGTTTTCCATGTCCTATGGATTTTTTTCATATATAAAAAGTTTATAAAAAATGGGATAAACAAAGGATAATTAGCAAAGCACCAACATTTGTTCATTAGTAACTAATGGCTCACTTGATTATTACTCTCATCTCGAATTGTGGGGTTCTATTCCCACTGTTGGTCTGAATCTATTTTTTAAAAATCTGAGTGGCGGCGATTCACTCTATATTTCCAGTCAAATTATTCGAAGCCAGCGGAATCTAGCCGAATGTCGCATGTATAACTTAATAGACTTCCACTATTTCAATTTTCAATCCCCATGATGCGTTTCTAATATTATTTCGGAAACAAAAAATTTGCTTGCGATTTCTGTAAAACTAACCTGTAAAATTGTGCTTTTTTCTTGTTCGCGAACGATCTCCATTGGCGAAAATGTCACAATTATCAAAATCACCGTATCTATCTTCATATCCGTAGTTGCTGACCAATGGTTCGTGTGGTACTGGTGGAACATTGAAATAGCGTTTTTTATTTGGTGAATTGGCTACCACACAATATGGATCATTATTGTTCTCAGTGGCTAAACATCAGAAAAGCTCCATTCCACTGAATTGTGAATTGTTTTTTATCAAAATTTTAATAAAATTTTTCTATTTTTGAGGATAGTACACCAATACATTGTATAATTACATAAAGTATAAGTAAGTATATACTCATAAGAATAAGTAAAAATAATTTTTATATGTGGTTTTCACATTTTAATAAGGTAAAAGAAATTAATTGACTCAAGTAGTGCTCACCATTTCTGACCTGGAAAATTCGATTATCAGCACTACTAGGAATGTAAAAATTAGATAAATATTCGTGAGTGCCATTCTTAATTTCAACCCAATTTTAATCATTTTGATACGCCTTTGCTAATTCTATTATATATTTGCTATTATTCGACAATTACCAATATTTGACTGTAAAGGATCCACAGCTTCCTTTTCAGGGAAATTAACTGAGCCGTTCATCAAGTTTACCCGCGATTTATTGGCAGAACGAGAGTCGGTAGAAGTAACATTTGGCGCACTTCTTACTGTATTCACATAATTTGGCAGATCACTAGACCTACGTTTCAAAATTGAAGAAAACGATCTGCTATTGCTCTTATTACCTGCAATAGTTGATATCTGCAATCCTACGATCAGTAGTAATTATTAGTTGTTAAAAAAGAGATGAATCTTAACATTTTTTCGACCGCAAGTTTCAGGCTTTCAGAATGCATCTTCAAGATTCTCCACAATATTAGAAGTTAAAATAATATACGAATAAGGCATATGGATGATAGTCACGTTAGGCAAACAGGTTTGAACAAATTGCAATGAAACAACTTTTGTGATAGGAAATTAATTTATTTTGCCAGGCTTTTTTGATAAATTTATTTTTTTTTAAAAGTGGAATTAGCTAATAAAACAAGTGGAATTAGCTGATAAAAACAAGTGGAATTAGCTGATAAATTAATTAAATTAAATGAAAAATTCAACTTAGAAATTTTTAAAAAGAATTTTTTAAAAATAAAAAATAAAAGAATAAAAAAATTTTGCATACCATTCGTATATTTTTCATTTCCGCAAGAATTTCCGCAAAAACTGCAAATAAATTTTTCATTTCAAACTTTCCGATAATTTAAAAATATCCTTATTGGTATCTAATGGATTGCTAAATGTTGCTAATTTACTCAAATCTGCCCGTCTTTTTTTATCATTTTTTCTTTATCATAAGAATCATTTGATAATAGCATCAGATATCAATTTCAATTTTTCAATTTTTCTTTTGTTTAATTTTAAGATATTTGGATCACTGCGAAAATCAAATAGTTTCTATGTCTCTCACTTTTCTCCCTCTTAAAATCCACCATAAATTCTCAATTATTCAGCAGGTTTATTTCACTGGCTGTAAAACCAGTTGGCTGCCTTTGATTAAAAGTATTCCTATTCTTTTCCTTTTTTATTCCTTTTTTTCCCTTATTTTTTATTGTATTCCTTTTTAATAGCTAATTAAGCGAACCTAACCAGAAAATAGAAATAGCCAGCGCTAACTATATTTATATAATACAGTAATCAGTGGAAAAATCATTCATTGGCAAAACCTCATGTCAAAATCTTCTTCTCCAGCTACAACATAGAGCATTCCATCCCTAATGTCATTCTCATTTGTTATTTCAGAGCCTTGATAATCGTATAAATGTAGCGTTTCTCCTTTCTCTATTCCAACAAACGAACCAGCTTCCTCAATTAATTCCTTCAAACGAGGAATCAGCCAAATGCGCCAAATAAAAAGTTTAGGCCTGAAATAAAATTATTTTTATATATGTTATTTGGGGTGTATGTTGCTTCAATTGTAGTAAATTAGGCTCAATTTTCGACTCTTAACAGAAGGTATATATGCTATTGAAGTCAACGATTTATCTCTATGTGCAAAAAATTCTCTTCTCGTTACCTATAGTTAACCCCAGAGGCCTGGAAGTTTTGAGCAATACCTTAATTGTTCCTAGCGGTGCATTTTTCTGGTCAGAGATCTCTAATATTATTCCTAGAATCTCTCAGAGCCAGTTTTCTAACATAGGCGCTGGAGCCTCGATGCTGAGTGCTCTACCACCACTGGGGCTATTTTGACCTTCATTTTTCACATCTTTACTTTCTCTTCAAATCCTCATAGCTTTTTATGTTCCATTTTCCTGATGTTCTTGTCATTTGCTACTGCTATATCCATCATCTTGTCAACTACTATGGTGTCTATTTATTGACTGTTACAAAATATTGGTCTTATTATTCTGTACGATTTTCTCATGAAATTTCCTGTTTTTCATGTTGTCTGGTGGTAAGTCTTCGATAGACGACCTCGAGGGTTGAGGGCAGCCAGTTTATTCATTCATGATCTTTTTGCCTTACATCAGTCGCTCTATCTTATGATGGGAATGTTGGGAGAAAATTTCTAGCTTCCCAGTCTGCTGGCTGTACATCCTCCTGTTCTTCTTTCGGCTTTTCTTAGATCTGGCATGTGATGCAGAATTGCTTTATTTCAAGTAAAAATAGCAAATTACTTTATTGAAGAGTTTGAGCGAGTATCTATTCCTCATTTAATATAAAAGTAGACTTTTTACTTACTCTTTACTTTATATATTTTACCCACTATATTCTACCTTGTCCACACTCTTTCTCATTAATATACTATTATAGCACCATTCCATGAGCTGCAGATTATCTTCTTCAAATATATGCATTCCCAAGTGGCTTTTTGCAGGAAGAATGTCATTCTTGGAGTCTATGGGACCAAATTAATGAGAAGAAAGTACCTGTAATTAATATCACCATTTTTCCGCAAATATATCTTTTTGACCGGAGGTGGTGGTCGATTGTATATTTTTTCTCTTGAGGGCCTTTCATAGTGGCCACGTCTTTGCTTGTTAAGCTCAATAAATGATGTCTTTCCAAATGGATCGTACACTGAAGATGCTGTAAATGTAATTTTGGAAAAGTGCAATTGGAATTCTAGAAAAAATTAGTCCAATATTTCTTTAGGCTAAAAAAATGAAGTAAAAATAATGGCAAGAAATTTTTAGCTTTATCTATGGCATTGGCTCTTATCAGTACTGATTATTATCTCGTTATCAAATAGAATTTACCTTCTTTCTTCCCAAAATTTCGTTTGTTTTTTGGTATATTAATGAGAAAAAATTTAGATATTAAGAAAAAAAGAAATGACTTGATTACAGGATTTTGTGGAAATTTCTTGTTTTAAAAAATTATTTTATCAAAATTCTTTAAAAATTAATTTAACTTGCGAGGAATTGCTAAACATTTTTATTTAATTCAATTTTTAAATAAGTAATTACTTACTGAAAGCTGTCATAGAAAGAAAGAATGAAGACGAATCTATTCAAAACACCAGATTTTCCATAGAAACATACATACTTGTCAGGAACTATAAGAGCGATAAAACGATAATCCATGATAAATCTGCTCTACGAAGTCGATAATTTAGAATAGCTTCAAAGTTTCCTTATTTCTCGGCAATTTTGGTACCATCCACTTCGATTGGTTTAAAAAAATGGCTAATTGATGTAATTAACACGGTGACTCTTAACTCTTAACTCTTTCTTAACTCTTTTTTTGCCACATGGACCCTTTGATAAATCGTTGAGCCCTCTTCTTGTAGTCTATGGGCCTCTTCTTTGAAGAATATCTTCACATACAAAATAGGTGTGAATGCCAAGAATATGTGACTGGGAAGCCAAGGAGTTGGTACCATGATTTGTTTCCTAGGCTTTTTTAGAATTTTAGTTAGTGATTAGCGAAAATGAAGATTTAAATTTTTACATATGGATAAAAAGATCGAATATTGAGAATATTGAGAATAGCCCTCATATAATGGCTAAGCCAACTTTTTAATATTATTACAACTCGCTTCAAAAGAAAATTTCTATGGTAAAATTTTTTCTCGTCATAAAAATGTTGTATAAATTAAAATCAAAACTGAAGCAATGCGCTAAGATTTTCATATCTTAAAGCACTTATGTGGTACTTCTGTTCTCTTATTTCTATTCCTCAAATGGCTCTCTTCCGATGGAATTTTGCTTTATTCAATTACTATTTTTCCAAAAAGCTAGAAAAAAAGTGCCAATATATTATTATCATTTTCGTCCAATTATTTTGCTTTGAAAAATTGATAATAAAAATAAAGTAAACAAAAATTTTATATCTTTATCAATAAAATTTTGAGCCGTTTAACAAATAAAGGCAACTTTAAATTAAAGGAAAACAAAAAAGAAGCAATAAAGAAAGGCCGCAACAGTGATAAACAGTGATAAATAAAAAGACAAATGATAAATCATGCCATAACACTTGTCGTGTAAGGCAAAATATTATGTAAAACAAACGCAAAGGACTAATTTATTGAGAAAAGAAAGGCCTATAACGCTTTTTTTTTTACATCAGAAGCCTTTTTCATTTCTTTGATATAATAAACGGCAACCTAATTTTATTATCATATCATAATCGTACCTAATCCATTCCATAGTACCATTTAATGGTACTTTAAAATGATAATATGAATGTATTCTTCGTAAGAATATTAATTCAGCGAGAACTTACATTAAAATATATACTATTGATGAGAATTAGAAGATTTTACAAACAAATAACATAGGCAGCATATAGTAAGTATCAGAACAATCTGCATTCAAGCTTTCACCTCGGTACTAGCGATTCTCGTCGTATTTTGTTCCGCAATATTTGACGTTGTTACTTTCTTAACCTTTTTTTTCACAGTTCTTACTTTTTTCACAGGCGTTGAAGAGATCGTTGATTCATGTCCCTTAATCATTTATCATAAGCGTTCATTGGAACAGTTCATTAGGACTTGGTGGAACAGTAATTATAATTATAATTTTGGTTGAAATTAGTTCACTTTGGTTCACTTTGGGTAAGATCCGTAGCGATTCCCTGAATGTGAGAGTAAGTGCGATTTATATAAATCCTAAAAATTTAGGTATTTATCTGATCGTCGAAAATCTTTCAATTACTCTTTATATGAATATTAGATATGGCGCTTACTTGCTTTTTACTTTCGACTATAACATTCGCAATTTTCTTTGGCTTGGAGATACTCGATTTTCTTTTCGTCTCATCCGGAGCATCCTCAACGTCTGATATTTCACCTGTATTGCGTTTTCTGCTAGATCGACTAAGACTTCGACGAACACGTTCCACGAGCTTTGTCCCTATTAATTAAGAAAAAGTATTAAAAAATTTTAATTTTAGATCTAGTTTAAAATTTTAAATAGATAAATTTTCTGCAAGTAGTGGCGATTTTCTTTTGTGCTAGTATGATTCAAATCCTTTCCAAATCTAAATTTTTTATCGATAAGTATTTCATCAATCCATCTGCAAATAACTAGTTGATAAGACTAAAATATCTCTTTTAAAGTGTTATCATTCTAATTCTCATTCCTCCTAATCCAAGTTTTGCGAATTCCAGGTATGGACTTAGACGATGGAAAAGGGAATGGCTTCCATTACTGTCGACGATATCATCAGATCGCGCCGCTTGGAAGCCCTTGTAGTCGTTGGAGCCAGCCTAGCCAGTAATAGTGAGAGCTGTTAGAAGAAGGAAAATTCCAGGTTTATGATGATGAACCTATTTTATTCAAATAAGTTGCGATGAATTGCTAATGAAAAAATTTTCAGTTATAAGCAATACAAAAATTAAACGAATCACAGTATTGCATTTTAAGCAGTGGTAGCGATTGATTATTTTATAATATTTATAAATGGTTACCCATATTTTTAAAGGGATTTCGATTTATACGGGGCATCGTGTTACCGTATGGTGACTGACTTCCCATTAATTCTTCTATTTGACTTAATGATGTATTTCGGCCAAGTACTGTCACCGAAGCGCTACTGGAACTGGGCAATACCTGTAGAAATAGTAAAAATAATTTAAAGATATTGCAAAGATGATGCAAAATTTGGAAATTATAGTTAGATCAAATTCTCATTTCTTGACGAACGGACAGCGATTCTTTATGCTAGGATTAACAATTCTTAAAGTGATAGCGGATCGGTAGTGCCAAATACATCAAACAGCGACGGTGGTACGTCAAATATGAAGCGAACAGTTCTAAAACTTACGCTTGTAACAGATTCTATATTACGAGATGTTTCGTTAGTTTCGACTGATCGAGATTTTCTAAGACTGAAAAATGATTTCGTTGGTTCTGAATCATGCATCGAATCAAATGCCTTTGCCATTAATTTAACTGATGGTTGACCGCCCCTGGCTAATTCTTCGCGACGTATTTTGTATAAAATATTTGTACCTGTAGTGTATAAATTTTTATAAGCAGCATATAAGCAGCATAAAATGTGTTTTATCAGTAAATGAGTTTAAGTCAGTTAGATTTAATGAATCCAAAAATGGCAAATAAGCGTTTCAATGAACACTGTTTAATTAGACGTGAAATAAAATTATCGAATGAACTATTTCACCTGCACTGTTACTACGTGAATGAGCCTGTCTAGAGATATTGTTATCGATATCGGCCCCAGTGTTAGTGTCAATTGTTGCATTTGTTCCTTCTTCAACTTCGCATGAAGTGGATCTTGAAGTGTTATTTCTAGGAATATAGCGTAAACGACCGTCTTTATCGTATTCGATATTCTTTTCTTTATCTGAAAATTTTTACATAATTCATTAGAGGAAACGTTTTAATCTAAGTCAACTTAACAGAATCTTAAAAAGTCAATCAACCCATAAAAAATTTATTAAATATTACTGATAATGAGACTTGGCGGTGGATCTGGATAGATTCCAACTTTTTTTATCGCCTGCTGCGACGAATTTTCAAGTGGCTGAGATTCATTCATCTGATAATTCTCAATGCTCGTCGATCGAGAGTGATTGATCATAGCTGAATGTAGAGAAGACCATCTGCAATTTAGTTTCCAGTTTCAATCCTTATTCTTTTTCTTTTGATATAGAATGGCTCCATGTGAGGGTCCATAGGACTTCGATAAAGGGGCGTAAATCTACTTTTTGCAAATCCAAGCGATCGCGATGATCCATCTATGCTTCTATTACTATTTGCCTGCCAAATATCTTGTGGAATATCTGGTTCGAAAGTCAGCGGAGAGAGTGTAACCAGAAGTAGTGAATGTTCTTAGAAAAAAAAAAAACAAAAAAAATGCTTTCAAGTTTGAAAAAGAATTCCAGATTCTGCTGGATCCTTTTTTCGGGTGGAAATTAAATATAAAGGATAAAAATCTTAATTACTTGTAAGAAGTGGGAAGCGTATTATACGATCGTACAGATAATGAGGATTGAGAAAGATTATCCGAAGGTCCTACTGAAACACCATCCGAATCAATGCCTACCAATTCTTGTTTTTCACCATTACTCGACGATGTTTGTGGTTTATTCTCATGCGTGTAACTAAAAATGAATTTTTCTCTTTTTTATTTGCTTATTATAACAGATAATGAATTAAAAGAAGTTTATGCTACTTAATTTCTGATTATAATTGATATCACAAATAAAATGATAAGGATAACTATATAATTTATGCAAATGATAAGGATAGCTATATAATTTGCTTGTGTTGCACAGTATTCGTTCATGAGCATATGTAAGTATATCTCTGTTTAAAGCTTACCACAAGGATTATGGGTGTCCTTTAGTTATGGTTTGATTGTACGCAAAGGTAAATAATTTATACAAATAAATATGATCGACCAAATTTACATGAATGAAAAATAAATATAACTAACACTTGATACTTAATAATATTTAACTAATATACCTTGAGTATTGCGATAGTTGATTATCTTCTTCTCTAATCATTTTCAGTTGTGATAAACAGTCTTTGATTTTATCGTAACATTCTTGATCATATCGACCTCTTTTACGTAGATTTTCCAGTATCACATTAAGCTAAATTATAAATTATAAATTATCACATAGATTCTTGTAAAAAATATGCCATAAACCACTAATCTTCGAAATTAATTCGGCGAATGTTTAGAAAATAATTTTATGAGGTATCAAAATTATTAACAATTATTGCTAACCTGGTCGATCAAGGATGCAATTCGGTACTTTCTTGTAAGGCGGTGCAGTTCATTCAGTCGGACATTTTCTTGAATTCTTGACAATTCATTTTCTATAGTTTCCTTGGCGCTTATTTGTAAATCGCGTGCTTGTATCAAATTTCGTTGACTTATTTCCAAGACTTTAATCTGCTCATGAAGCTGCAATCATTATCGTAACTTATTGTGATTATAGATTTTTATCATTTCATTTAACTTTCGAATCCTTATTTTAATAACTGGTAATAATTTCTTGATATCAAGGGAGTTGTTGACAGAGTACCACATTGTGGTATGTTGCTTGATTCAAAAGGAGTAGTATGTATTTAATTCCAATCTGCCATTAAAAGTGGTATTTACCTATACATCGGTCCTTTAGCGACTCTCGTGAATTTTCATCCAGGACCGTCCGAACTAGTGACCAGTGGAACCAGCCAAACCAGAATTGGGTGCGTATTATTAGGAGAATATGAGGCATTTCTTGAACAGTCTAATCTACTGATTAAAGTCAAATTTCAAAGATGACCAATTTTAAATTATTACTATAGTTCTTATCATAAAAATTGGATTTTACTTCTTTAGAAATTCTTTCCGTTTCGCTTTGTTTCGATAGATTATCATTGGTCAATTCCTTAATTTTTGCATGGAGACGATTTACTTCTTGCGAATAAAACTTCTGATATTCCGAATATTTCTTTTGGACATTTTCGGCTGCTTTTAATGCCTTTTCCATTATCTATAATTATATTCATTACTAGCATCGTTTCAAAATATGCCTACAAACATTTTTCTACTTGTGAAATCATTTGCGGTGATCAAAAAGGTAAATCGGGCTTTTGATCCATCACATTCAGAAATCTCACCAATAATTTATTTATTATTCAAATTCATGGAAAAAATCATCATTACTTTCTCATTATTATTACTTTTCGGTAACGATAATGCGCAAAATTGGATGAAAAACTTACTTTATGCCAAATACTAAAATCATTATTTACTTACTTTATGCCAAATACTACTTAAGGAAAACATTAAATATGTAAAGTAAAATTAAAAGCAGTGGAACTTTATCATCATTATCATAATCATTCGTTTCAGTGGATGCCTTGAAGTGCGTCCTTTCTACAAGCCATAACGCTTTATCACTTTCATGAGTTTCCTTGGCTAGCTTAAGATCATTCCTCACTTGCTTTAGCTCATTCTCCAAATTCGTAATTTGCTTCGTCTGTAACTATCGTAAAATTATCAACAGCACTCATCTGGTTAATAAAATTCGGCATATTAGATATTACTACCGACTCACCATATCAGAACATTTTCTGGCTAAATTCGACTGATTCTCTAGATTTTTTTCGATTCGTTGCTCTTCTTCAGAAATTTGCCTTCTATATGTCGATAGAGCTTCACGATGATAATCGCGCTCTCGACGAGCTTGCACTAACTAGAAAAAATATTTTCTTCGCAAAAATAATGCAATCATAACAATAGGATTGTTGAGAATCTTTCCAAGAATTTATTTATTTTTTTGAAAAAATTAATCAATTTCATTTCAAAAATTCTCTAATTTTTTAGGAAATTTGTAGAATAGCTAATTTTTAGAAATTTTTTCATAAATCCTGATAAAGAAGAGGTTTTAGGAAAATGAGAAACCTGTGAATGCAGTGACTTATTTGTGTCTTCCATAATTTTCATTCTACTAGTAAATTTTTGTTGTAAAGCATCGAATTCCACATTTCGTATCTATTAAAAAATAAAATATATTTATTACGTACACTATAAAGAAAGTATGTTAAGCATATAAAATATAAAAAGCACATAGATCATATTTTTTATTAATTAATTCAGTTGCTCGAAGGGGCTATTAAATATTTATAAATATTTTAAATATTAATAAATAAAAAAATTTTCTGACATCTCAACTGGTAAGTTATTTCTTAATTATGATTGACCAAATATACAATTTGGCCATAATGAACGACAAATATAAATTTTCTAAAAATATTTGGCTAATATGCAAAATATAATAAATTATAAAATTTTATTACATGCGAACATCAGAGATGCTAACAGTAAATAGAATAGCGTAGTAGTTTTCAACCTGAATCGAAAACAAATTTGCATATTCCTCTCCACTGATCCCTAATGGAAATTTAGCATTTCCTTCAACTAATGGTCCCTGTGATTTTATCACCAATAAAAATCGCAGAGATTTTTCGATTTTTCGTAAAGAGATCTTTCAACAAGCAACATTTTCTTTTATGCATTTTAAAAGAATTATGCAAGAAAGAAGTCCATGGATTCCAGAAAGAATCTTCCCCTATCTAAAGGTTAAGAATCTTAAGAGAAAGAGAAAATACCTTTTCATCTTGACGCGCTTTATGTAAAAGATTGTCTTTATCCCTCGTCCAGTTTTGTTTCATTTTCACTAATTCATCCTTACTTTCTTCTTTTTCCAATTCAAGTCTACGAATCTGAGCCAGTAATTCAGCATTCTAAATGCAATAATAAAACAATTTTATTCTTGATTAACTCATTAATATTAATAATTAACCTTTTTCTCGTAGTACAACAACTGTTTCTTCATAATCTCCGCATTTTCATGATTTTCATTACTTTCTTCAGTTCTACTTGATTTTGCACCATTTTGCGAATCGAACACTATCGTACAAATCGTTTCTAAATTTTTTATCACATAAATCACCTGTGCAATAATTTACTATAAGTCTGTGAGAATCAGCCAAAAGGAGCAGCCTGAAAATTCGTTCTCTTAGTCCTCTTTCGATCATAATTCCTCAGAATCCATTCTTTCTTTTTCCCATCATAAATCGTTCTTCCTTGCAAAATTCACCATTCTTTTAAGCATTCATCAATCCATTATATTCACTAAATACTCGTTATACCTCTTACAAATTTCTCTAACTCTGTTATGCTCCTTTTATACCTTTCCAAACTTTGCTAAATTCCAAAATACTTCAAATTTTCAAGATACCCTTATCAAGCCTCGTATTATTGCCTTAGTGCTTTTAAAAACTATTTTCTTCATACATCAAATCTCAAATCTCTTGGAATATCGCTATTTGGTCTTTGACCATCTGACCAGCTGACCATCAAGCATCGTTGTTCCAACAATTTTATGTTTCAGTTTCTATAATTCCAATCTTCTAAGCACTAAAACCACATCATAATCTTTCAGCAATTTCTGCCCCGTCATACAACTTCTATAGTTCCTATAGTTAATACTTTTTTTCCTCATTTATAAGAATCATAAATAGTTCGATGCCTTCCACGATTATGCTTTTTTTGCTATCATAGAGATTTTTTTTCTCAAGACTCCTCACAATTGCTGGTTAAACTCGCTCCACTGGCTCATCGCATTGGACAAGTATGCCAGGCAGATAGAAATACAAATGAGTCGCCAGCACCATCATAGAGAATTTAGAATCTAGGCCTTTCTAAATGTTGGCCTATATCTATCGAAATGTATTATGTTTTGGCGCCTATCATTTATCAGAGCGTTTCTAACCTCCTTCATCACCTTTATCACTGTTATCTTCCTTTGACCTATGTTCTCGCAACGATGCCAATTCATTCTCGAATTTTTCCTTCTCTTGCAACCATATTGTTTCTTTTTTTCCGTAAGTTTTTTTCAACCTCTCTAAAAACAAATTCTCTTTAATATTTTCGCAAAACTTTTTCCAAAATGTTTTTTATTTTAATTAGTTTCAAATGTCATTTGCCAAAGTTCACCGATTTCCGTTAAAGTGTCATCCAATTTTTTCTTCATAAGCGACATTTCGGTTTTCATTTTTGTTCTTTCTTGCGAGAATTTCTCTTTATCTACATCATACATTGACTCTAATTTTTTATACTTAATTTCGTACTCCTTGGCTGATTTTCGTTCCAAATCGATATCCTTTAATTTTAACGAAAAATTGATTTTGTATTATTTATAACGAAAATCGATTTAATCAAATTATTAAATATTATTATTAAAATATAATTTTGGTTCAGTTGGCTTTTACTCTCATTTTGGAGCATCGACGCTAAGATTCCTCTTCCAACGGGGCAGACCTACCTTTTAAAAAAAGGGACTGACGACTCACCTGCAATTCTACCATCCTATCATTATTAAGCATTCTCTCTAGCAAAACTTGTCGAGTCCGATAAGCGGAGAAGGCTTAACCAGAAATAGTGGGTGCTCTCAAAAAAAAAAAATCTTCCTGATAACAAGAGACTAACAAGTTGTGTCATAATTCAATAAAATCGCACAAAATAGGAAAAACAGAGATTTTTGAATTAAACCTGTATTTCTTTTTTAAGCTCGAGCAATTCAAGCTTCAATTTTTCACATCTTTCATCTCGTTCCTGTAGCATACGACCTTTTTCAGCAAGAGCCACTGTTCTTGATTCAAGTAACAGCTTGTATTCCTCTATGGCCTTTTCAGTATCAGTAAGCTTTGAATTCAAGTTTTTATTCTAAAATCTTTTAGTTATACGACGAAAAACTGAGATTTCTTGAAATTTTTAGCACACTATCATTTGTTATTTGCATCGTTAGCAGCGTTTATCATTGTTTATCAAAATTGTTATAATATTTTGCCATTTGCATATTTATATAAAATTCTCAAGAGACTTAGGATTTCTATCACCTCAACTTCAAAGATTTGTCGTTGCTTTTCGATTTCAATGTTCCAGCGATCTTCTGTTTGTAGTATTTGATTTGTGAGATCCTGAAAAAAGTTCCATTGGTACTTTTTTTATTCTATAACACTTTTATCTATAGAGATTTTGAAAATTTAAAGGTAAATGGAAGAATGTCAAATGAAACCGCGAATCATCAACATACGCTGGTGATTAATACAAATTTTAAAACTTTTTGGTACCAACAATCCAGGATCGACCAAATAATAGCAAAAAGATAAATAGTTTAGGGATTCTCGCATTGTAAATTTTTTTCATAAACTTCTATAACAAAAATTTTTTTTTTACTTTATTTTTCTTTTTATAAAATGCGATTTCATCTTGTAGCGATTGATTGTCCTTGCATTGATCGCAGATTTCTCCTTCTCTTAACGCCGATACCTTTTTGACTGGAGATAGTCGCATGGAACTTGCAATATTTATCTGCAATGAGCGACATTTTACGCTAAGATTTTCTTATTCATAACTTTAAATTAAGGTTATTGTTATAAGGTTCAGCAGTCTTAAACAGAAATAAAAGGTTCATACTGGTCATTATTTGTACCTATTTGAAAACAGTAGATAAAATTATTAAATTATTGTCTGAACTCTGAGCATATTGATCTGTTTACCTTATGTGCCTCAAGCAGGCGATGGACATTATCCAATTCACTCATCACACTTGCTAGTTCAGCTATTATGGCAGCACTGCCGTCTTTCGATAACGAACGCCGACGTTCATCCTAAAAATCAAGTTACCAGAAATATGTTATAAATATGCTAAATATCAGTATTTACCGACGAAACTCCTGGCTATCAATCCCTAAAAAGACCGAATGAATCCTTTATTTCAGTCGCAAGTTTAAAAATTCGAGAATACCTTTTGAGCATTGTCAATCTTCTCAATTTGCTTGCATATTCGATGTGTTTGCGCTTCAACTGAAGCCAAAACTTCGCAACATTGTTCAATCTGAATAAAAATTGCGTAATTTTTAAATTTTCCTCCAGCAAATTATTGCTCAAAATCGACAAATATCTCATCTCATCTTTTATCAGTTTTCAATAATAAAAAACCGAATTTGAACACCAACTACCAGTCAGTGGATATTCTTCGAATAGAAACCTCTTCTGTAGTTGCAGTTTCTCCTTGGAATTTTTTAAATAATGCATTTGCTTTTTGTTCGCTTAGTTGTTTTTCAATTTCTTCACATTTTTGCTTGAGGGCATTCTGTAAAAATCGGCATCAGCGAAATGTTTGCTTAATCTAATCAATTCAAGTAATTCAATTATTCGGTTCAAAATTCTCAAAAAAATATACCATATATATAACATTGTCGCTACCGTCATTTATTATCTTCCGATGCAAATTATTACATCTTTCATTCGCAAGTGATAATTGATTATTTAGTATTTCAACCTAAAATATTTGTAAATCTAGCAAATAATCCGATTTCACATTGAATTATTTTATAGGCTTGATTACGTGATTACTAATTTGCAAAGTGTTTGTGAACTATAGATGGCAAGAGTTTATGGTACCACTATTTAATTTGCCCCTAAGATAATCTCTGTGGATCTATCTCTGTAGATCCATTGGCGATGAACTCACTCCTCTCTCATATCCATAATCCTTATCTATTATCTATTATTATACTTGCATATTATGCTTTAAAAAACATTTTCACAAGCTTTTTTATTCTCATAGAAAAATAAACCTTTATAGCCATGGAAATAAGTTTTTGATTGTCTGACTGGACAATAATTTTTTTCAAATCGTTTAATTCGGATTCGATCATTTTCTTGTGCTCTTTCTCTATTCGAAGTTCCGTATTCACTGAAATCCATGAAAGGCTTATAAAGCGTCTAATAAAGAGAAGCGATTGTTGCTTTTCATTCGAATGCTGGGCAATAGCCTTACAGATTTCAATTGAAGCTGGAATTTTTGTATGATCATCCTGATTTTGAAGTTGCAAATTTAATTCCATATTTTTTCGTTGTAATTCGTCGATTTTCGCGATCATTTTACTCATATCATTTCGCATTTCAGGTGGAATATCATAGTGAGCAATCTTATAAAAATAATTATATTTACCAAAAAAGATTTTTAAGATTTTTGGTAAAATATTATAATTATATTTATAATATTTTTCATCTTCCCTTTAATAAAGCTACTATATAAAAATTTTTAACATAACTAAGTTTCTTTTATTAGTTTCCTTTACCATAAATTTTAGCTAATGAGAACTAATGAGAAGCAATTGAAACCTGGATTAATTAAAAATGCTAACAATTTTATTACAATTATTAATATAACTATTAATGAATAAATAATTAATGAATAAATGAATTATATATAAAAATTTTTTATAAATAAGAACAGCCACTACTTTACTCGAAGTACGACCGGGTTCGGTTTGTTCAGTCGAAATTGGTTTACTCACGTTCATTTCGATTTCAACCAGTCTGAAATCAGAAATTTAGCTCTAGAATATAAAAGTATTTCTCTAAGGAAAATGAATTTAACCGTTTTTAAATCTAATCCAGAACAAAGCAAGCAATTACTGATAGCTTATAGAGTTATCGCTTTCCTTGTCATATACATGAGGAAATTCAAATTACACTATTAAAATTTCTATAGCTCATATTTAATTAAAGATAGATTCAATTTGAATGGAATGCAATTTATAGATAAATTAAAGCTCTATGAAAGTATCAACGTGAAATAAGAAAGTATTTCTGTAGTAAAATTGAGCAACTGAATAAATATGATGAGAACTTCGAGGTAGTTAAGGGAAAATAGCGTTCGAAGATTCAATATAAAGGGAATATAAGAATAAGGAATAGGAATATAAGGGAATAAGGAATAAGAGGTTTTGAGCGGATGTTAAGAGGTATATCGGAGTCATTCTGTTCGGCTCTTCAGCTCGAAATAATCTGCTTAACAATCATTTACTCATATAGTGGTTTTACTTTTTAGAAAGATGTATATTCTTTTGTTCCAGACGTTCGACTTTCGTCGAGAGTTGTTCCACTTCTTGTTCAGCCAATTCCAATTGAATTTGAGCATGCCCTTCACTGAAAATTTTTTCATGCTTTTGTCAAGAGTGGCTTTTTGAAAAATAAGCGATTTTTAGGTGATTCTTCTGTTTATCTTATAGGACTTCTCTGTCTTTCATATAAAAGACAGCAAACTATTAGAGTAGAAAATTTTTCAGGAAAATTCTGAAATTCTGGCATTTAGCAAAAATTTTATATAAACTAAAGAACAGATAATTCGTTTGGGTCACATTATTGCAAAAATGCTATTCCATGCAAAAATACGATTTTTCAGAATTTTAGTTTGAGAACTGCGAAATATTAAAAATATAATTTTGATGGCACAAAATTCTTGGAATTTTTCAAAGTATTCAAAGACATACCTTATAGAGCGCATCATTGGTGGCCTTTTCGAACTTCGTAATTTTGCAAGTTTCCTTAGTAATTCTTCGTTCTCGGTCTCAACATCCTCCAATGGATTCTTTATTTTTTTTATTTGTTGCCATTCTAATTTACTTTTCTAGAGGAATTTTCGCTATCAGTGCTCGCAACGGTGGTATTGATTTCCCCTTATGGTTTACTCAGGTCATTAGTCTAGTCATTGTATAAATATACAATTGAATTTGTGTCGATTTTATCTAATTTCTGTAAAAAATATAGAACTGATAAAATGATATTTTTTATCTTTAGGTAGCAATAGGTTCAAGCAGAAACCTAAAATTTTTAATGGGTAAATAGAATTTGAAATAATTCCAATCGGAGGATTCGTCCAATATTTGATTTCTCTTATCTAATACGCAAACGATACAAATAAAGCGCTGAGGGATTTTATAGGAATTCACACGAAACTAACAGAAAAAGGGACGAGGGGAGACTCATTATATTTGTATTTTTACCTGTAATCGCAACTGTGTCCTTTTCAAATCATCTTCAGTAAATTTCAGTTGATCTCTTAAATCGGCTTCTCGTTCCAGGATATCTCTCATTTCCTTGCTCATTTCATTTTCACTTAACGGCAATGAGATATCGGAGTTAATTCGCCTCTGAAAATTTTCACTATTATATTTATATTCTCCAAATATGGACTATTTGTATAATAATATGTTGTGGTTCATAAAATAATTTCTAAGGTTTAAAATAATTCATATTGGAAAAAAAATGCAGCCTGTTGCTCAGATTTGTTCCTTGCTTCGCGCCACTTATTTTGCGTTTGTAATTCACGAACTTTTTCTTTCAAATAGAAAACTTCATCCTGAAAATTTTGACGATTACCTATCTTCTGGTGCCTTATTTTGTTGGTATTTTAAAAAAAAAATTATGATTTATCAAATAGGAAAAGTCGAAGTCGGTGCACTTATATTTCCAAGTGATTCAGTAATGTATTTTCATCCTAATAGTCCAGGTGGTTCTTCTAGTCAAACGATTTTCTACCAATAGCAGTAGCTGTAGCTTTAGCTTTCAAGCAGCAGTAGTCAATATAATAGCAGGACCATTAACCAAAAATGGTGAGCAATAACCGCTTGAATGAAAATATACCACTTATTTATCATTTGTTATCCAAACTATTGAGAAAAGTATTAGATGAGGAGGAATTCCTTAGTATGAATTTCTTTTTCTTTTCATTTACGAAAAAATTACAACTCGAAAGCTGTAAATGATTGGTGTTGAGTACCCTAAAAATTTAGTTGATTAAATGATAAGAATACCTCTAATTTATAGCGTTTGTCTTCAGCATTTTCAAGTTCATTATGTAATCTAATAGAAACTTCTTTAGCGATCCGCAATTCAGATTCTAATTCCTTAACTCGAATCGCATCTGAATTTTGTGAATTTTCGCTAGCCGTTATCGAACTATTTCCCATTGATGACGCTATCAAAAGGTCCTTAAAGATAATTTAATACTGAGAAAATCTTGCAATATATGCTAGAATTCGAAGATATATGAAATGAACTGGGAAGATGTTAAATGATAAAGTGCTATGAGTACCTTGACCTTTGCATTCAAATGCTGCTTTTCAGTTTCGATTTGCTCTTTCATTCTTTCTGCTTTTCTCAATTTAAATTGCAAAATTCGGCAATTTTTAGCATTTTGTTCTAATTCACGTTGAAGTTCGCGAAATTCTTCGATTTCCTCTTCGCGATACTGATCCTGAAGATTTTCCTTCTCATTTTTAACCGAGTTCACCAGTTCTAAATTATTCATTTAATGAAGGAAAGAGTATTCTTTAAAAGAATATTAATCATCATTGCTGTTCATACTCATTCCGCTATCTTTTTAAGGCTATGCAAATATGCTAGGAAAATATGCCTTGACGATAGAGATGAGTCGTTAGCATCACTCGGAATCTAAGGCGGTTAAGCAGATTTAATTACTTTACCTGCATTTCTTCAATTTCCTGTTGTAAATCTTTCACATCATTTTTTAGTGATTCGTTCTCGTCTTTTAATTCATTGCATAAAATTTCCATGGTACTTAATTTTTCGATTAATTGGTCATTTCCAGAATCTTTCGCTGTCAATATGCCAGATTCCTAATAAAAACTTTTAACGAATAAATCATAGAGATCCACTGAAAAGATCTACTGGCCTTTCATTAATATGAGATTGGCAGAAAGGACGTTGAATATTCTTGATTTAAGGAGTTTTATCGGATTTTACCTGCAATTCACGTAGTTCACATTTTAAAACGGTATTCTCGTCGCGATAGTCTTGAATACAATTCTCAGCTTCAGCAAGTCGTTCTTCTAATATTTCGATAAATGTTTGATCCTCTTCATTCTCATTTTTTGTCCTAAAACGTAATAATTAGTTCATTTTGAATAATTGTCCAGAATAATTGCAATATAACATATCGTATAAATAATGGTTATATTTTTTTATTACTTTTTTCCATGGCAAACTTTTATAAATGAATTTGAAATTTTGATTTTTTATAAATGAGCTTTTTAACTCGTCGCAACCAATTTTTGAACTGAACTTGAACAGTTTTTAAACTAACATTGTTGTGATAAAATTCTGAGAATAAACAAAAAAATAAATTATTCGGAATATTTTTATTTTTTAGGAGTATTCACCTTTTATGGCTAAGTTAATTCCACTGATTATATGGATAAAGATTATCTTTTATCAGAGGAAAAAAAAAGATTTTATGAAAGGAAGACTTTGGATAGAAATGACTGATAGGATCCCTAAATTGCACGTTTTGTTAAGGATCGAGCGTGTCATGCTTGAATTTATTTATAGCGAAATCCTATTCGATTATTTGGCTCTCCATATTTATCCATTTAAACCAAAGCCAAAGAAATAATAAAATAGGAAATAAAACATTCTGTGATGTAATTGTTATTCACTATAGCAGAATACTCTTATAATCCAAATTGTCGTTCTTCCAGAAAAAAAGTTAATCCAGTAAGATTTAATAATTTTCAAACAACAGAGGTGATAAAAGATTATTATATTTAATCTCGTTGTACCTCCGATATGTCCAATTTTGTCGTTCTTCTTTCAACTGTGAGATTTCTTCCTTTAAAAGTTCGATCTCTCTTTTCATGATGGAAGTATCGGAAAATAACTGCAAATAAAATATTAATTTTAAGGTTGCAAAAGAAAACTTTTCCAGATAATTTGCTTTTTTAGTATATATATTTTTTATTATTTTTTAATTGCTAGTTTTAGTTTTCTCATTCTTTTTTTCAGTTATATGTACAGCGCCTGCTAGGGCGAGACTGGTTTGCCAGGTTTTAAAACTGTATATCGGTTTTCGTACCGGATCATTTTCCGTTGGTGTGGCAGCCCGTTCGTTATCAGTGATACTCTCAGAAATCGCAGTTACAAGACTTTTTGAGTCATAAATTGAAGAAATACTATCAATCGACTTCGCACTTGAAATTTTCTTCGAGCTTACCGCTGATTTATATGATAATGAAGTCGTCGTAGTCTCATCATCAACTTCTGAAATTAGGAGATTTTTTAATTCAACACTTTTTTACGGGGTATTTTTTCGTTTTTTATTTTCTCGGGTAGAGCAATTGTTTCGATAGGTACCTTCGTTAGTGTGTTCAGGACCGCTGTTATCTTGTCCCGATAATTTGTCCTTCCACGATCGCCTTTTTTCTCGACTACGTTCTTTGGTAGCTATTAAAATTTAAAGTTAAATGGATATTATTTAATAATAATTAATTATTACTGATTTAACACTTAACACTTACTTTATTTATTTATCACAATACTTAAGAAAAAGGAAAGAAATTTAATAAAAATTAAATATTTTATTAATTTTTTTTTGGATTTAAGCAGTCGGCTGAATTGATTTTAATTTTATATTGTTTCTCATTTCAGTTTTTCAATTAAATGTGAATGAATGCGGAAATAGATTGATTAATAAACGCAATTACCGTTAGATGAAGGCTGATTATTCGTGTTCGAATTCTTCTTAATTGCCGTCGTCGATTCATCGTGATTTGATCGTAGACGAAAACATTTCTTGCAGCGTTCCTTTAAGTAAGTTTGCGGCTCAAACCCCAAGCATGGTGACTCCGTCATGCTGCAATAAAATTTTCCACAATAGAATTTTATTCGTCTGCTTTAATACTTCTGCAAAATATGAATTATAAATGAATTATTAAAAAAAAAACAAAATGAGAATTTAATTTCTATCACATATAAAAGAAATATGAAAAAAAATTTTTTTGGTGCCTTATTGCATTTTGGTTTCATATTTCAATAATTTTAAATTCTCATGATTTCTTAAATTTTTTGTCCAATGTTACCATTTCTGGTTTGTCTGGCTCTTAGGTTGCGACTCATTTGACAACGAATGACTTAGGGACGAAAATAAAAGTAATGGATTTCACTTTTAATAAGGTTAACTCCAAGACTGTGGGAAATGTTTGAGAAATGTATAAGCAAAATACTCAATTATCCTTGCAATATCTGGGCAAATTTTAAATCCTCGGACCTATTCCATCCATTGCAAACGATTGAATTTTTAAAAATTTTTGGAAATTTTTTTGGAATTAAAAAGAAATTGTGATCGCAAATTAAATTTCCGTACCAATTTCAAACAGGAATGATTTATTCAATTATAAAAAATTTCATAAATTTCATAAAATAATCGAATAAGCATGTCACTTCTAATTTCATTTTTATGCAATAATAAGATTTTAAAAATTTCTTAATCATCAAATCAAAAGCCAATAAAGAATTATATGGAAAAATTTTTTGAAAAAAATTTTATTAATAAATTTTATTAATTTTAAAAAATTCATTAGAAGTTTTAAGAAAATTTTATTAAAATTTATGTCTCTTCAAAGAAATTTTTTTTGCAAAATATTGGACATTTTTACAAAATTATTTTTAAATAATTCAATCTCTAAAAAAAAATCCCTTTTATGCACCAAAAAAATTTTCAAAAATCCAAAACTTAAATATTTTAACCAACTTTATTTACTTTATTTCTGTTAACTTTACTTTTATTCTCTGGTAAACAATTTATTTTTGGTTTAACTAGTTTCACTGACTGCTAAAATTGGATATATTCGCTAATGAGAACGCGCTTTTGGATAGGTCAAATAGATAAGTTCCTAGCATTATTTTTTTTCTTCTGCATATGTGCTGCATGCATTAATCTGCATGCACTAGTCTGCATGCATATAAATGCATATAAATAAATGATAATAATATAGTAAAAATGAAAGATGTTAAATAAATTTGTTGGAAAATATTAAAACAAATAACGCATAACTTGTTGAAAACAGATTCTTTCCTTCGAGGAAAATCTCCAAAAAAAATCTCATTAAATATCGAATCACTTGGATATTACATGAGATTGATGTGAAAGCTGATAATATTTCATGTTTTCATGATTATAGAGCATAGAATTCTCAGCTAAAATTTTTGAGATAAAAAAATAAAAATAAAAATAATCCATCTTTTCAAAAAAGATTTCCTTTCGTAATGGTAATGCAACTAAAAATCATTTTGTAAAATCTCATGAGGATAATTTTTTGATTGTCGAAGTGAAACGTATTATTCGCAACCAATTTATTATTTATTTGGATCTCTGGAAGTGTTAATGAGTTTGGATAAAATAAAATAAACCGATTTTCCACATTCGATACAATAATTAACAATCACTGCAATCAAAAAGTTCTAAGTAGCTATTTTCAATTAATATTGGATAGCATTCGAGTTTTAATGAATTTTCCTTCCGGAGGAACGATCAGATAAGAATTCGATAAAACTCGATTCTGGTTTTTATGCGAAAGCTATTTTCATTCAATATCGATATATTTACATGGATCTGTTAGAGTAGTCCTGTAGAACATATCATTTATATTATATAAATCGAGAAGTTTACTTGTCCCTCGATAGATTAGACTTCAATAGACCAGAACCTTATATCATTATTAGGTTGTGGCTTTTTGCCCTCATTTCAGAGAGCTGATATTGAGGTTCTTCTACTCTATGTGTATGGCCTGTTCCTCTCATTTTAGAATGCCGTTATTGACATTCCATTCTCTACATCGGCAAAGTTGTCTCTTAAAAATTCGGATAAACATACTTCACCCGTACTTCCATCGCCTCATTGACGACAATTTGTCTGGTCGCAGTGGAGCAATCTTAAATAAAAAAAGCAAGCGTTCACTTAGAAAAAAAAAGAAAACATAAATAAAACCATAAATTCGTAAAGAATCTAAAGAATTTTGAAGAAAAATTTCAAAAAGATTTTGTATGAAATATTTTAAAGTTTCGAAGAATTTACAACATTTTAGACTGAAAACAATTCGAGTAAAAGAAAGAATAGAATTGTCGAAAAGAGAACCAGAAATTTTTTTTTTTTCTGGAGAAAAACTAGTGATGTTCTACGATAATCAAGGATTTCAGTTCTAATGTCTACGAACTTTAAATCAATATATCACATCGCTTAGGCCAAAAAACAATACTCGTCTTATTTTCTTTTTTTTATTAATAAAATAATGAAGTAAATAAAATATAAAGCCAAAGCCATATGGCAATAATAAATTAGATAAAAGTAAACGAGGATGATTTGGAAAAACACAACAATTTGATAGCAAACATTGCATTGTGGCTGCCATAACATGGTTGATACTATATTAAGTTTTATTTATGCTCCAAAATTATTTATCTCATTTTAACATTCCAAAAATACGATCAGAACGATAATTTTTGAAAAAGTCGACAAAAATAGAAAATAAATTGGGGCACTCCAACTCTCGAATGGTTGAGATGGTTCTATGTGCTTAGATACATACAGAAGGATTGAGCGTTCAAAATCTAAGAATTCTTTAGTTTGTAAAGGCAGATATTCTTAATATAGAATATGTGTCTACAAATCCATTTACTTAATCAATTGATTATGTTTCAATTGATTATCAATTGTTTATTAATATTAAAATTCAGGTTAAAGCGATAATAATTAGCAAAGTATCGTCAAATAAGTAAATATTAAAAGAATGAAAAAATCCTCTAAATCCTCATTAATGAAGATTGCGCATAAATTTAGAAGTAATTCAAATGCTATATATAAGTATTAAATCTAAAAGTATTTGTTGAAAACATGAATTCATTAACTGATTTATTATGCTTGGATAAAGAAGCAATACACTGCAGATGTGGTTAAACGAATATTTCTATATTATTGCTAGAAAAATATCTGAATTTTTTCAAGTTCCAAGCATTAGATTTAAAAATCTGGAAGATTTTTTTAACAATTTAAATAGCTTTTAGATTTAATGTAGATTTAAAATTTTTACAGACCAACAAACCAATATAAAATCATTCATCAATCGATCATTTGCATAAAATATAAAAATCTTAAATAAAATATTTTCTAAGGCTATCCAAATATATTTATTATCTATATTCTTCTTTAAAAAAATTTATAAATCAGAAAAAACTGAGAGAATTATAATTTTACAATTACATTTGCTATGAGGTACATCAAACTTAACTGAAACCAAATCACAGATCACTAAAACTAAGCACTAAATCTTCCGCAGTGATTTTTTGCTTAACTATTTTTTAAACTAATTATTATTTTATTTTAATTGAAATTATAATTAAGTTTAAAAAATGATATAACTAATGGACTCTCAGCTTTTATAATTATTTTATTTTATATTGCCTTTATTTTTTTTTTACCAATTTCTTTATTGCATCTGTTTTAGCATGCGTAAACTTACCCAAAAATCCGGCTGATGCTGGCGACTTACCTGTATTTCTATTTTTCCAATGCGACAAGCCAGCGTAGCCAGTTTGAGCAGTAATGGTAAAAAACCTTTAAAAAAAAATTGCATTTGTTTATTTCAAATTGTTGGCTTAGATTATACTTAATTTTTCAAGCAAATAAATAAAAAAAAGTCCAATTTGGCGATAAAATTTACGAATGCAAAAGAAAGTAAAGGTAACAACATAACTGCCAACAAGAATCGAGGCTTAGGCTCGAATGCAGCCTATTCACCACACTTCATCAGAAACTTAACGAAGAAAGTAAAGGAAAGTAGAACTCAGTGGGTTGTTACTCAATTCGAAACGCCGATGCTGAAATTCTATTCCCGACAAGAATTAACGTGTCCAAAATTCCTGGTGATGCTGGCGAATCAGCTATATTTCTATCACCAAGGGAGTCCAAGCAAGCATAGTCTGACATGCCATGCGAGTCTAACCAGCTGTGATGAGGGCTTAAAAAAATATATATGTATAGTTTAGATTTCTATTTCTCAATTTCCGATTTCTATTTCCCAATTCATTAATTAATTCAGACTTATCTGCCTTTTCTTAATGAAAAATAAAAAAAAGCAACGATAGAAAGAAAATTTAAACTGATAATTTCTTTTTTTAAGAGTACCATTAATGGTACCTTTCGGAAGTAAAACCCCATCACCAGTGCTCTGAAGCAACAACCCACTAAGCTATCCTACTTTCATTTTGCTGTAAAAATAAATGGTACCAAACAATGTTCTGATTTTATTTTTACTGACAATTTTACGGAGATCAAAGGATAGGAATGAGATAATTTTTTTTTTTTTTAAATTAACTGCTGATTCTCCTTATATATTTGTATTCTTTAATACAGTAGAATTATGGTTAAGTGAAATTCTTTAATAATGCAGAATGAGAATGGATTATTCATAATTTTTTGTTTTTGTTCAGAACTTTATCCATGAAAATTTATCTTAGTACATATCCATACCATTATATCCTTCTAAAATTTCTTTATGCAAGTATCATTGTCAAAAAAGCGTTTTTAAGGCAATAAAAGCCACAAAAATTACTAAAGCAAGAAAGAGAAAAGAATATAACTAACTTAAATCACTCGTATCACTTAAAAGATAAATGATAAGTGATAAATGATAAGCCTTACCGCAAATATAGATGAAGTGGAGCGAGAAAATTCTAATTATCATTATTTTCATCACCAATAAAAATATGGGAAAAAATTTTATTTTAAAATTTTAAAACAAAAGCATGAAGAAGAAGAAACAATTAGAAATAAAGTGTAACAAATGCAATGAAGTAGA